ACATTAGACTGTTGATACTGATGCATCAATGCTCCCGTTTTACTGTTCTAAGTGTTGGAGGTGGAGTTAGTTTTAACTACATTACATACAGTTAGTCCACAGGTTCCCAACACAGGAGCCAGGCCCAATCTTAATGTCACAAGACAAATCTGACGGTTCGTGAGATGATTAATGAGGCGTGAAAAGAAGGATAAATGAAATTCTGCTACACAAACCTTGGACTTTTCTCTGATCTTTGCTGTGAAATACTGGATAATTTTATCTCTATGGTCTTCAAACAGTTACTAAAATGAAAGCACCTGAAAAGTTTAGAGGTGAAATCTCTCTTTGATGGAACTTCTAACAACTCATAGACATCAGAAACATGACAGGAGGCCTCGGCCAGCGCTGTTTTTTTTTAAATAAGGGATCACAAGACAAAAGGGTTGGAAACCACTGGTTTAAACTGACACAATGACCGTGCTTTATGTAAAAATTTAATCTGTAAAGTAACTACAGCAACTACTAAAAAGTACAATATGTCTCACTGAAAGTAGAAGTATTAAGTTGCATGAAGCAGAAATACAAGAACCTCAACACTTACTTAAATACAGTACTTGAGTAAATGTGTTTAGTTACATTCCATCACTGACATTTAAGTCAAGTTAAAATTCAATTTAAATGAAGTCAACAATTTAAGAAAGCCAACAAATCTCTCTCTCTCTCTCTCTCTCCTCTGCAGGGCCTGATGTTCGGCTATGCCACAGATGAGACGGAGGAGTGCATGCCTCTCACCATCGTCTTGGCCCACAAACTCAACGCAAAGATGGCCGAACTCAGACGCACCGGCATCATCCCCTGGCTGCGTCCTGACTCTAAAACACAGGTGAGGCTACATTATTTATTGTATTACAACACATGCAAGACTCAAACAGAAACAGAAACACTACAGCAGTCATTGTGTGAATTAGTTTATTGTTTCTAATCTGGGTGTCTTCCAAGAGATTTATTTTGGTGCCAGTAGACAAAATCGGATCAACAGTGGCTACTGCAAGTATTTAAGATAAAGCTGTCTGTGTTGAAATAATAGACTTTTGACTGATTTAGAGGCAGTTAGCCACTAACACAAAGAGTCTAAACTTTTTGTCCCATGTCTAAGCAAGAGAGTAGTTCAGATTTCAGACCAGGTATTCAAACATAGAGCTTTAGATTTATCTCAGATTTGACTGAGTAAACTTCAAAGCAGCAAAGTATTAATGAATTAACAAAGCGACAATCGAATTATCTCAACGGCAGAAACTACAGGGGCACTCAGAGAGCACAGGGACAGCAACGGCCCCAGCAAAGTTCTTTCAGATATTACCGCCACTTTTTTTCTGCGATATTGAAGGATATCAGCCCAAAACTTCAGTCATAGTTTTAGGTGAGGGTCTGCACAAGAAAACAGATACAATTACATCTATCGTCTATGTCTGCCCCACAGGTGACAGTACATTATGACCAGAGGGACGGAGCTGTCGTCCCCAAGAGAGTTCACACCATCGTGATCTCTGTCCAGCATGATGACCACATCTCTCTGGAGGAACAGAAGAGGGTCCTAAAGGAGAAGGTAGAGCCTCATAAACACACCTAACTGGGCTCTGACTAATGAATTCCTTAGGAAGTCATATCTTTGGTTCTTAATGTTGCATTGATTCTATCAGGTGATCAACACCGTGGTTCCTGCTAGATATTTGGATGACAAGACCATCTACCACCTCCAGCCAAGCGGTCGCTTCGTCATTGGAGGACCCCAGGTGATCATCACGCTCAAGTTGTTCATTTCAACTGGAAACAAATTGTACAAAAAAAAAAAAAAACTAAAAAGTCACCACTGATTTTTTTTTTTTTTTTTTTTGCCCCATCAGGGTGATGCCGGTGTGACAGGCAGGAAGATCATTGTAGACACATACGGAGGTTGGGGAGCTCACGGTGGCGGAGCTTTCTCTGGCAAAGACTTCTCAAAGGTCGACCGCTCGGCTGCCTACGCGGCTCGCTGGGTGGCCAAGTCTCTGGTCAAAGCCAAACTGTGCAGGAGAGTTCTGGTTCAGGTGAGTGTATGGCTTCAGTCAATGACCAGCGTTTGACGCATAAATATGTGCAGATAAAAAACATCTCTATCTACTGTATCTGTCTGGGTGTGTTCCAGGTGTCTTATGCTATTGGAGTGGCCCAGCCTCTGTCTATCTCCTTGTTCACCTACGGTTCCTCTGAGAAAACAGAGACAGAGCTGCTGCAGATTGTCAACAAGAACTTTGATCTGCGGCCAGGAGTCATTGTCAGGTAAACACATGAATACGACCTTTGTATTCTTCATATGCAAAACAACACAAGACTCCTTTGTTTAAAGCCACTGTTGGTGATTTTTAAGTGAATGTAGCATCTTTAAAATTATTCTGATGGCAAAAATCGAAAAAAAAATAGAGTTGAAATGATTCATCCGTTAGTCAATGGAAAGAAAATTAATTGGCAACTTCTTTGAGAATTGATTCATCATTTCAGTCATTTCTCAAGCAAAAATGCCAAATATTTTCCAGTTCCAGCTTCCAAAATATCAGCATTTACTGCTTGTTTACATCAAATAGTGTAGTTGGTGCAGTCTATGTGCTGCTGTCTTTTTTGATACCACTAGGAGGCACCAGAGTTGGGCATTTTCAAATTGTACACATGGGGGCTTTAAGATAGCAGCCCATTAACTGTCTTTGTATCCATTTACATTTCCCTCCGTTATTTGCAATGAAGGCTGCATGTGATTGTCAAACAAATGTATTATTTATTATGAAATATATTTCATATGAACAAGTATATAGCAGGAACCAGTGCCATATCCAGTGCCTATCATTAGATAAACAGACAATAAAACTCTTACAAAACAGCATAACACACAAATAATACTACTATAAGATTAACATAAAACTCAGGAGGCATAAAGTCAGTTATAGCTACATGACTGACCCCTCTTTCAAAACTTGAGTTTAAAATGATCCCAGGCAGCATTAACAAAAAAGTTCAACATGTTTAACAAATTACATTAAATTAACAAGTTTCCTAATGGACAGTCAGGTGATATGAAATCACCAAAAGAAACATGATTAAATAATACAGTAACAACCAATCACATTTAGGGGTTTAAATTTTCCTGCGAATGGTTTTGACTGCAGATGTGAAACTGACTAGAAATGTGCGGAATGAATGAATAATGTACTTACTGTCCTTCTTCACCTCTGATGATACATTCCTTCTGTATCCTCCCCCAGGGAACTGAACCTGAAGAGGCCAATCTACCAGAAAACAGCCTCCTATGGCCACTTCGGCCGAGCAGAGTTTACTTGGGAGATGCCCAAAAAGCTTGTCTTCTAAATACTCCACCTGCTTGTCCTGATCGACAACTCTTCGTGGGCTACAACTGCCAACTCCAGCCACTGATAGGACATGTTTTAATAGGACGAACTAAAGCCAAAGTTAGGGATAAGTCAGCTTTAAAGAGGTGACAAGATAATTATGAGAGTGGTTGTAGCCAGTGGACGTAAAAATGGGACATTCTCCCAATAAGAAGAGAGGCCTTACAGAGGACATCTCAGTAACCAATCCTTTTCTAGCCCACAAAACATCCAATTATTGGTGCTTTAGAAATGTAGGAACTATCACTAGTCAAAGCTCTTCCCTGGTAATGTAAAGGAACGCCACAGCAAATGAACTACTCTGAAAATAAATACTTATACACCACTACAAGCAGAGTGTTTTATCTCAGAGCTGTGAACGTTCCTTTATGATGAACAGGAACAACCTCAGTGCTTGATTTTCAAAAGGTGCTATTGGCAACAGCAAGTATTTCGTCAGTGACCATCATATGAATGTCAGAAGTGTAATTATTGCTCAACCAAAAGCTTGGCATTAGGAGAAAATTTAATCTTTTTGTCATGACTGTAAAATGCTTTTTCTAAGTCTTATTTTGTAACATGTGCAACAGGAAGCTGTTTGCACTGTTACAATCACCACTGTACAAGATGACAGGTCACATGGGGGAGAGCTTTTACCTCTTAAGCATAAAATATGTTACAATGAATCAAATGTAAAATAGCCATGCAGTCTTATGTTTCCATACTTCTTTTCTCTCCTTTCAGCTCAGCTTTCTTTTAATATCAACTTGCTTTTATTGCTGCTCAGCTCACCTGCTGGCTGATTTGTATCTTCATGTGTCTGTTTTATATTTTTACCTGCAGGCCTGCTGCTGTGACTGAGTCTGTAAATGTGATTCATTTTAGCAAATAACTAGAAGTCTGAACTCTGACTCTCACTCTTAGCAGTGAGCATTTAGTGGACCACTGATGTCTTACAATCGCTGCATTTTGTTTTAAGCCTGTGCTGTATCTAAGTTAATATCTGACAGAGTACCTTGATGCAGATGCAGATCTCCTCTCATTTCCCTTTATATCATGGAGATGTTTTGCCAATTTCTTACTAAATGTGAAGTTTGCTCTACCCAAAAACAACTTGGACTGATGTCTAGTTACACTGCAGCCCTATACAGCAGGCCGAGATTGTCTCCATGGATTTAGAGGGAAACAGGGAGCGTTTATTAATATATTTCTCACAGGGCATTTAGAAAATTGAATTTTAAGTCAGCTTTCGTCATTGCTTAATCACAAAGTATTCAATCTAAATCTCCCCCTCTGAACCACTTCTGAGGGGATTGAGGAAGTGTTAACAGTGCTCCCCTTAAAACGTCACGTCTGTTTAGGTTTAGGACTTTTGTGGTGACAACCCGTGCTTTCCTCTACAGCAAACATTGTTTTTGTAAGAGAGGTTTTCCTCTATTTAATGTGTTGATCTGTTTGTTGGCAGAGAAACTGGACAATGTAAATAATTAAACAATGAAAGAAAATTAAAGATATAAACAGTTGTCTGACCTTTTTCATTTTGCCATTTAGATGCAGCTTAAATGAAGCAAATTATGAAGAACAACTTTTTTAACCTTTATTTTTATTTTTTTGAACATTAAGGCATATGTATACAATCATATGACTTTTCATCAAAATAGAATTTACAACCTAAACCTCTTTGGTTTTCATTATCAAAATTATACATAAGGCACATAGGGAGCATTTTGCATTTTAACAGAGGATTGGGTATCCAGTAACAGATTTTTGTGAGGAGATGCTAGTTAGTTTATCAGAATGCTCTCACCAATCATCTACTGACTGCATGAGTAAACTAGTTTCTTCTTGCAGATATTTAACCACATTTTCCGTGAGCAGCATAAGCATTCTCACAAGCTAACTATACCGGAATGTTTATATTTAAGCTTTACAGAGTCTTGATTAACAAAAATAATCTATTATATCAGGGCTAACCATCAGTACTGCAACTGTGAGATAGCAGTTGCGCCTACACTACATAAAACAAATATACACGACAAATCCTCATGAACATAAAACGAATTCCATTGAAACAAAGACAACAGAAGGCAGAAGCAAACAGTTCATTCTGCTTTGAATCAAACAACGCAGCTGGTGTTGTAACATTTTCCTGAGTGCAAAGATCAGACAGATCAGTAAACGAGGAAAAAGAGGACAGAAATTAAATGCAAATGAGGCCAAGCAGGCGACTTAAGAGAAATGTTTTAAATTGTGGTTTGTAGTGTTGAACAGGAACATTATGCATAGATTTCTAAGATGCATAAACTGTAAAGTAAATTCAAAACTTTTAGTCAATGAGCAGCATGAGCAGCACCATCATTTGGATTAACATTTAAAAATACATCAAATCCTGTGATTTGTTAGAAGAATGCATATTGTAAAAGAAGTGTACGGTCACACAGCCAGGCAGACAGTGATGCCAGGTAGAACAATCTGAAGAACACAGCTGCACTAAAGCCAGAACCGCAAGCTGGAGTTCAAGTGCTCATCATTACTTGCTACTACAGCAGTCCCATGTTCTTAGTAAATGCAGAATAAAAAAAAAAGAAGCAGATTTGACCTAAACCTGTAGCCAACTGAATTAATTCCCGTCTGTGGATACAAAAATGTTTAATTTTTCAAGTAGAAAACAAGACCTCCTGTGAGCTGAACTACAACATTACAGCTCTGATCCCAACACAAACTCACATGCAATGAGCAGTTTGACCAGCAGAGAGAAGCAGGTGATCAGTGGTGCAGCTGGTGCTGTGTCGACCTTCCAGCTCATTCCACAGAGCAGCATGCACCAGCTTTTCCAGTTCAATCATACATTCAGTCTGAGAGTGAATTACTACATTTCAGTCCTTCTGTGACAGATTGTGAAACTATGTGTGAAGAATGAGCTCTTTTTAGAGTGCTTGCACTCAAAATACTGGCACTAACAAAACCACTGCCCAACATGTGGCCAGTTGTGGTATGAGAAAGTGATATTTTCATGGTGTGAAGGCCAACTAACGAGACTATTACTACTGTAAACCATCCGCTTGCTCTGATTTTCCCACCAGAAATAAAAAAAAAACTGTGTTAATATTACACTGAGCTGTTGCAAATCAAAAATATAAACATTAAATGTGTTACAACCCAGCACAGAATGTCAGAGAAAGAGGAAGTCAAAGAATGTCAGAGATACCAAACCATGAAGCCATACTGCTCTGACAGATGTCAAAATATCAAGTCAGTTTAGGTTCTAGCAGGGAGCATTTTTCACTCAATGAATCAGTAGTGCCAAATATCTGCTTTGGTATTCCTGGCACTCGCAGCTGTTCATGCAACCTTCTGTCCATGCTCCTCCACAAACTGACCCTGTGTCTCCATCTTATTGCTTCCATTTATCATAATCACAGCTAAACTCAGGGAAAGATGACAAGATAAGGCCTTTTGTGTTTTAGCACTGATGCCACAGGCAGACTGATACTTGGCATGTACTCCTGTACAGTAACACAGAGGCAGGACAGTTCATCTCAGTTATGTCTTACATAACAAATCATTCCTTTTCTTTTTGTCCGGCTGCAGCAGCTGGACATGCTGTGGAGAATCCTGAGATTCAAAGAAAAAATACGAAGGTAAAGCAATAAGATCATGTCCTGCCCCTCCTTGTTGGGGAATAATGAGATGCAGACCTCTGACGATAGGACCTGAAAACACGTGTGATGCCTCGTCACTAAACTCAATAAACCCAGTGCTCTGGGTTGAATTAGCTGGTACGTATTTGGCCTCTGGACAATGTGTCATCTCTCTTTTTTATTCTTTGGCAGAACTCTACAGAGAGGAAGTTGAATCATATACTATTTGAGGTTTAAGGTTGATATAGTGTATTGATCCTAACAATAAGACGCAGTGATAAAGTTTATGAGGCACCACATTTATTGTATGTTCTGTGTGTAGTTAAAATAATGATATGGTGCATCATCCAAAGCATCCACACACACAAAAAGACAATGTGTGCTGGATGTGGGTGCCATGGATACTATAAAATTTGTACTTTAAATGGTTTGCATATGTGGCGTTGTCAGTGTGCGTATTTTAAAGCTGTTTGAAGTGATTTTTGACCACAAGACAAACTGACAGAAGTTGTTATGTTTAACTCCTGTAACCACTTACACATCCAGCAGACACAGAGCAACATTATCCTGTTGACCACCTGAAAAATAGAGTCGAATATTCACTTTCCTTTTAGCCTTGGTTAACCAGCTCCTGAGAAAAGTATCTTGGTCTTCTGCTTGCCAAATGGTCGACTTTCTGTCAGCTAAAAGCAACTAAAATCTATGTGGAGTAGGATGTTAATTCTCAGGGGTTTCAGTCCTATGAATGACTCTTTGACATTACAATTTGTTAATATCAAAAATATTGCTCAATGTAGGTTTAAATGATTGCAAAATGCCTGTTCTATCTCACGTACTGACTGAAACATTTACTCTTCTATTTGACTGCTTCTTTGAATTTATTGCATTCATCCGTTCTCTTGTGAGAAAACAACCCTTAAGTCTGATGTTCCACCGCAACACCGCAACACCATCTTCTCTCTCCCTCTGTCTCACTACTGTAATACTGTCAGCCAGGCCGTCCAGCAGCCTTCACTGCTTTACAATGAAAGCATCACGGCAGTCACCTGAAGTGGAAATGGTCCAAGGCCACTTATTGAGACAGGTTACAGGATCTCGGTCGGAACAGCACATTTTCTTGATCTGATTAACAAAATAGTCCGTCCTCTGCTGGTCACTGAGGACAGGACAGAGTTGGGAGAAAATTTGGTTTCGCACTTTTGTGCAACGTGCAAAACGCAAAGTTCTTTAGAGACACAAAGCTCAATACAAGCTGAGCTCTCCACTGTGGTGGCAGATCTACGCCCCTGGGGCTGAAACAGTAGAATCCACTCTGCCATGAACGGCTGCTGCACTGGCCTGGTTCATTTCAAAGCTTCAGAGGAGTGTGGCTGGAAATGAATAATTAAACTCATTCTACAACCGGAGTTTGAAAGGAATAAACAAGCCACCTGCGTGGCATCAGGATGTGCCGACGGGCTACAGTATGGACATGTTTTCAGGCTGGTGTGGATGAGGCTGTGAGTGTGCTCCCAGTGCGTCCACCTTGTGTTCTCTCCCAGCAGGTCCCAGGGTCCCTCCTCTTGCCAGCACCACCATGGTATCTCCTGACATGCTGGCAAACTCAAAGGCGAATGTCCCGTAAAACAGCATGATGATGACGCAGAACACCCATTCAAAGATGGCCGACGCATGTTGAAGGACAAAGCTCTCCTGACAGAAAAACACACCACCTGCAAACATGGTTAAGGACCACAACAGCAAAGCAGAATCGAAGCCCTGAGCAGAAGTCTGAGCTGTTCATGTGTAGACACTGACCTGACAGTGTCTGACTGACCTCAGGACAAACCTTGCTTTTACAGAAACTGTAAAATTACGATATCAATCCAATCATTTCAAAACTCAGAATAAGGAATTGCGCATTTTCTGATAATGAAAAGAAGAAGTTGGTGCTATCATGTATTTTATTGGTCAACACAGTGTACTGTTGGATGGCTCTGCATTGTGTTGTTGAAGTGCAGCTAGGTTCAATTTCAGTTTTTGTCTTGCTTAATCAAACAAGATATACCGTGTTAATTATTTAGCATACAGACATAAGACGAAACAATCTTTTCATCTAAGTCTCAGCCAGAAAAAGCGAATATGCAGAAAACAAAATCGAATTGTTTGACAACATGCCCTATATGAATCTTTAAATCTGCTCTTATACTGTATATAGCTGTAAGAATGTCCCATAAAGACAAAAGATAGGATTTGACAGGGAATACTGCAGGGAAACTGTTGTTGCGATATAACCTAGAGGGGATGTCTCCGTCCTTTATCAGGCTGGCAGCACTACTCTCTACTCTAAAGCACTTGACAGCCTCGAAGGCTGCCATCTGTCAGCGGCTGGTGAGGATACTGAGCACCAAGGCTACAAAGGCCAGCAGGGTCATGCAGAGCCGGAGGTGGGCCACGTTGTACTCCCCCTGGGTCTTGGCCAGTCGGTAAGTCAGCGCTGACTGCAGGCACACAAACAGCATACTAGTGGGGAAGGCGATGCCCGCTCCGACATAGTGGAGAACTTTGGCATTATCCACCTGTCATACAAGTAGAGGAGACAGGGGGAGAAGGAGGGGTTACATTAAAATGGATAAGACAAAAGATAATACTCACAATCAGCAGTTTAGCAGCTGACAGGAAAAGAAAACACCACGTGGGATAGATCAAAAGGGGGGCAACATCAGACAGCTTCTGCATCAAGCTGTTGGGTCAGATTACTCAATTGTTGTGTAACACATTGTTTGAAGCCTCTTAGACTTCTTTTAGTAAGGCGCCAAGGAAGAATAAGTGAAAAGGAAAGGGTGATATGTAGGAAACGACAGCAGCAAGCGACACAACAGAACGCCTCCTTTTCCCTGCTGGTCACAAGAACGATAAGAAACAATACACAAAAGAGCTGCTCAGGAGCATGTGACTGCAGCTCCCACTGCAGGAGCCACACACACACACACACAGAGAGAGAGAGAGAGAGACCCAGACACACAGAGCTCAAATGTACTGATCAGAACAGATAAGAGATTCAGTGGAGCATTAACCAAAGCTAGGGACACACCTCTGTGGAATTGACAAATTTAGACAAATGATGAAATTTCTTGGCAAACACTAAATAGTTAAGTTGTGCTCGGAAAACAATGTCCCTCTGCTCTGCATAATTCTTAGGGATCATTAGAGCAACAGCCTAGAAGTTATTTAGTTTTGGCTTCTAAGCCATTTGTCCATTGACCCGGCTAATACATACTGAACATTCTTGTGTAGTAGGCTAATCCTTGAAGTGACAAAGTAAGATTTCCAGACAGTTCATTATGAAAAGCATACACAGCAATATGAGTCTTTTCTCAGATCTGTCTGTGACATCTCCAGAGCTGTGAGTGAAGATGGGAGAGAACACAGCTAGGCCTCATACGTTTTCCCTCAGGTTTTTGTTCACAGTGGTAATTCTCGTTCATTCTAGTACCATCCTTAGGAAAATGACAACAACCAAGTCCAGTGTCTTCTACTGCACCACTTCTCTGTACTGTAACTAAATTAAAATGGCACTGTGGGGGTCTGAGAGCTGTAGTACTGCCAATCTCTTACTCACAACATTCAGTAATGGAAAAACTCACAAACACACACAAACACACACAAACACACACAAACCACACACAACACACAAACACACAACACACACACACACAACACCACACACACACACACAACACACACACACACACACACACACACACCACACACTTCCCGGTGCTTTGGCACCTTCTTGTTTTAACTGATGTTACATCCATATAAGGATTAAAACAATTGATTAGTAAAGCCACTGAAAATAAATCTGCAATATTTTTTACACAAAAACGAGCTTTAGAAAATTGTGATATACATTTTTTTCACCTGTTTGTGATATTTTAAAGACCAAACAAATGGTTTATCAAGAATGAAAATAATTGATAATTAATCCATACACTCCACAATAATCTGTACTGCTTGTGTGTGAGTTATTATGTGTGTGTGTGTGTGTGTGTGTGTGTGTGTGGGTGTGTGTGTGTGTACGTACTGCCTGGTGTCCCAGATTCAGTCACTAATTGCAAACCTTACCTGCTGGATTAAAGATGTATTAAGCGGTCAAGTAAACCTTTGCTGTTCTACTTTATGTATGTTTTCCCACCTTGTACTGTACGCCAGGACCATGTGCTGCCAAGACACTGTGGGTTAGACAGGTGAGGGGGGAGGGTTAAGACATTGGCAGCATAAGCAGTAAGAAACAACAAAGGAATAGGGGAGACATAAGGAGGGGAATAAGGATGAGGAGAAGACTGAGCTGCTCTCATTATCGCTACATGTGTTCATCAAAAATGACATCTCTCTGAGCATCTTCCTTCACGTGTCCCTGCGGAAATGCGCTACAGCTAAAAGTGCCTACACCTGTCACATCCTTCTACAGTTGACCCTTACAATGCAAATATTGACTCAGACTGATTTTTTTTTTTTGATGCCTCTAACCTCTGTAGTTTTTACAATGCAACTCACTTCAATTACTTACGTGTTTCTATGCCTCCTAACACATTTTCAACTAGGCCTCTAGAGAAATCTTTAAATTACCTAAATATAATTCAGTTCACTGTGTAAGAGAGAACAGATCTGGAGGCAGAGCATCTCATCAAAGATTTTAATGAAAGTTTGCCCAGTTCTCTTGACCTGATAAACAATGAGGATAAACTCTGTTATTTTTTAGGACATTTTAATATAAAACTCTTTAAAAATAGATATCCTTACTGGGGATTTTCTTCAACATTATTTATTCGAATTAATTGTTTCCTCTTATTCATAAACCTACACGAGTTAAAGAAAATTCAGCAACTTTGATCAACAGCATCTGAACTAACTCTTTAAGTGAAGGAATGAAATCTGGGCTTTTATGTTTGGAATTGTCAGATAATTTTCCCATATTCCTAAACTAGAGCTGAACATACCATGAAAATAATGCACATAAGAATTAAGAACAAGTCAAGTATTTTCAAATTTAAAAATATGTGTGCCAGTATTTCATGGGATGATGTATATTAGGGAAAAAATGCTGATTCTGCATATCAAAATTATTTTATGAAATTTATGAAAGCTATGAGAGTTTAAGTTTTAATGAATGTTTTCCAATTGCCAGATCTATCAAGAAATTGGGTCAAAACTTCATTAAGCCTGGGTTTACAGCTGGTTTGCTGTAACTGTTGAGGAAAAAGAATAACCTCTACAGAAAATGCACCTCAAATCCTACTCCTCTTGTCATTTCTGCATCCCTTGTCAAACAGCTGAAACAGATAATATTGCAACTTATCTTTATTTTCTGTGTTACTTCTTTTAATTGTGCAAATAAATGAATAAACAAATTGCTGCCAAAAATCAATGCACTGTTCTCCTTCAGTGTCATTCTTAAAGGTCTCAGACATGATCTTCAGCAGTACTGGTCCTTATGTAAAATGCAGCTTGATGACTAAGCAAGATCGGCCTGATAAATCAGTTCCTACAGCCCGACACTGACCAGCAGCTCCACTGCATACATGAATAGTAATGGTGTTCACGCAGTGAGATGTTGGAGTCAGCAGAGCTCCCACTCCCTAGAGAAGAGAGCGTGTCACAAAAGTAAATGTGTTGCACACACATTTACTGAGGAGACTTTGGATATGTGTATGCCTCATTGATAAACCACCTACAGTAAATACTTTCACTGTGTGCTGCATTTAAAAACTGTTTCTGAATGATTATTTTGTATTATGGTAATACAGAAAGGTAAAGGCGTGCAGGGTGATAAGGAAGGTGTGGATTTACTGTACATGTAAGAACAAGCCCAACTGACATCCAGCTTTCTGTCAGCCTCAATTTTCACTTTCTGGAAACAGAACCAAATAAGTTGAAGCGAAACTCTGCTGGCTTCCAACTGCTTACAACACACCTGCTGCACCAAATGCCTGCCAAAATCTGTAACTAAACGTGTCACCACTACCACCTATTGCAAAAGCACTTCAAGCCAGACCTTCAGCTTGGCAACACACAAAAAAAGTGTTTGTGCATATAAAGCCTTTAATACATTTGACTTCTTAGGGGCAAGGATTAAAAATTTAAACGCATGTGTTACAAATTTTCAACTTTTACCCATGACAATTTAAAGACAGTAAAATTCAAGACATTGCATTGGACTTCATTTATCCAATCTTATATTTTCACCATCTAAAGACCACCCGTTTTCTTTTTTAACAGGAATGCTGCACAAACCAGCAACTGCAACGTTCAGTTCGTACAAACTACATAAATTTACCCTTTTCTTACTTTTATCCCATCTCCTCTGAGACAAAACGCCCATTGTAAGATATTTCCTCTGTCACATATGTTCATCATAATTTACACTTTGATGCCAGAACCCTCAGAGGAACAGTTCAGCATTTTTCAGAAAAAGTCTGGGACATGACCCATAAAACCACAACCCATCTCTTTTGCACTTGGGGGCATAACATTTTAATTAATGAGCTTTAGAGGTGCTAATAGGAAGATTTTGTTTCCTTTAGACAGATCCAGACTGGCAGTTTCACCCTATTTCCATTTTATGCTACTGGCTGTAGCTTTGTATAGAAAGCACAGAAATGAAAGTGGCATCAATTGTCTTACCTATCTCCTGGCAAAAAAATGAAAAGGCGCATTTCCGCAGATGTGAAACTATTCTCTTCTACTATTATATAGCAAAACTAAACAGAATCTGAAACTTAGATATTTGATCATTATCTCAGCATAATTGTCCAGAGTGACATTATCAAGACACCATCAACCAGGGAACAAGGCCCTGCTGTAGGTGTATTCTGACAGTGGGCCTCATCTGTAAATGTGCGTGTGTGTTTAGCGATCCATCCAGCTTTTCTGACCCTCTGTCTTCCACTCCTCTTCCTGGAGGCAGCTTTCGACCCAGCTCTGACACACTCACAGACCTCTGTGTGGCAGTGATCATCTATTTATGTGCTTCTCTGCCCAAACCATCAGACCACCTGACAGGAAAAGCCCCAGTGGCCACGCCACAGCTGTGCTGCCAAAGCCTTATGTAACAGGCAGCTACAAACTGAAGCAGTTGCCAGAGTACGTTTCCATGTGTTGTGTTTTTGGTGCTTTCTCTCTTTGATGTGTCGGCTTCCTTTTCTCCTCTGATTGCAATTTGCTTATTTGCCTGCGGATGCTGTGTCCACATGTTTTCAAGCCTATGAATTTGTAACTGTGCTTCATTTTGCAGCAGGATTTTTATTCTGTCATGTGGTTTCCATAGTTTAATCACTATCAGTGACATCTCTATTTCCATCCCACTGGAATGTCCCCGACTGTAAGAGATGTGAGTCTGTGAGTAAGCGGCTAGGGTCAGGCCTGTGATTGGTTATAGATGAGGCCTCTGCTACACACACCCTGTCTGCCCAGCTCCGCTCCATGCATGGCCAGACTTGATGACTCACTTCCCCTTGGCTCTTCCCATAAAATTCCTCCTAGATCTGCAGAGCAAAGGCCCCGGAGGAGAAACGGGAAATAGGTGAGGACGACCTTCGTGCACTCTCAGATAAACTGCCACTGCACATCTGTTCCCCACACTCCTGTAGGACTCTTCTTCTTCTTCTTCATCACTTCAACAGTGAACTTCAGACATAGGTTATTGATGTTTAGTTAAGTGTCCTTCTCATCTCTAACACACCTGACGAACAGAATGAGCACAGTCGCATACGAAGGAGCACTGGCTATGTAGTCATCATCTTACCACTTGTGTTTCCACTACAGACAACATCATAAATTATATATGACAATGTCACAGGATAAAAAATATATGCAAGTGAAAATCTCTGTAGTTACTCCTCCTAAATAACCAAGGCATGAATCCTAAATCTAGTGTAAAACTTTCAGCATCCACAAGTACACGAGAGTCCATGAGGGTCTGAGTGACATAAGCTCTCTGTGTGTGCGTCTGTGTCTCCTCCAATTTACAAGGGCTCCAACTGCACATGGGTTCCTGCAAGCAGACCCCAAGCAGACTAGAAAGAAGTATAATAAGAACAACTATGAGTCCGTAGTGTCCACAGCTGTCTGTGTGCACATCGACAAAGGAGCATAATTGAGGCCTAAACAAATAAAAGGAAGATGAATCAAGAGTAGAGGTCATAGGGCCAAGTGTTGAATATACTGCATCAAAGCATCACATTTGCCAAAAGGCACTGAAAGCTTTAAACTGTTGATTTCTGCATAAAGTTTTCTAGTGAGAACATGCTAATATAACAATGACAATGGATACACACAAGGTAAAATTATTCTATTTTTATAATGAAACATGTTTTCATTCAAAATAGAAATGTTTACAGCTGCATATATTTTAGAATTTATATCAAAAACTGAAGGGTTTTTTCTTTTGGTGGTCAAGAGGGCCAGTGTGCGTACGATGTAAGTCACATGTCTTCTCCCTCTCTGGCTTTCGCAATATTTCCTGTCAGCAGTCGTGTGTTTAACAATGTTTTAAAAGTTGAAGGACAAAACCACAACAGTAACAAAACATAACGGCAAGTATCCAGCCTTTCATCAGAAACCAAACTGTGTCTACACGGATGAAACACAGATGGAGCAAATAACGTTGAAAATCTCATAACACATGTTGTGGTCTGGGGTATATTAGATGGTAAGTGAACAGTCACTTCTCGTAGTCAACGTGTTGGATGCAGGAGAAATGGACAGGTGTATAGACCTCAGCTAAAATACCAAGGATGTCTCATTAAAGCTACCCGTAACTCCTCTCCCTCCTTCAAAAAAAACACACGGTCTAGGCGTCCAGCCAGGGCTCCAAATATTTAAACTTGAAGAAATTCTTTCCCGGAGAACAAATATCTACAGGGCAGGAATTCAGGTTGGGTTTCTTCACTTGAAGTTTTAACACTTTACTGTCTGAAAGAGCAGTATTGTATCTATACAGGCAGCAAGACACACTTCAACAAAGCTTAATGTAGATATATTCAGAAATACAATGCGTGTGTGTGTGTGTGTGTGTGTGTGTGTGTGTGTGTGTGTGTGTGTGTGTGTGTGTGTGTGTGTGTGTGTATGGAGAGGGTCGAGGAGAAGGGGTCATTAGAGGAAGATTAAAGTAAAAGCCAAAAGAAGTCATGAACACAGGCCTGAATATCTTCGAGGAACACTGAGATGTTGCAGTAAAATGCAGTTCTGTTCACGGCCGCAGCTAACTGTTAGTTTCATTTTTGATAATTCTGCTTAAAATATCAGAAAAAACAGTGAAAAATGCCAGTCAAAATATCCTATAACTCAAGGTGATGCCCTCACAGGTCCTGTGTTGGCTGATCAGCTGTTCAAAACCCAGATATTTTCAACTTGATATGATGTAAGACCACAAAAAGCAACAAATCCTCACACTGAAGAAACTGAAACCAATTTTTTGAAAAATTATATTTAACTTTTTTTAATTGTAATTTTACTTTCTGCTATTGCTATCTTAGATTTTTTTGTCATTAAATGTAAATTTTGTTATTGTATTTTATCGCTATTTTACTGGGTAATTAACTGTGACATCATACCTGGAAGTTGCCCACCATGATGAGTCCAGCAGCACAGATCCAGCCTGTGGAGAGACTCGCCGTGTTGAGAACACAGTTTTGGTGCTTCTCAATCACGTGGGCATATCGGAGCAGCACAATCACCATAACTGCAGAAAGAGACATAAAAAGACACAGAGACTGAAATTGCTGCACCAGTAAAACAGTGAAATGCTGAGGCAAAGGGAGAGAAGGTAGCATTAGGTTTGTACTTGGAAAAGTATCATGCACACTGGTTATTTCACAGCGTCTGGGTTCAATTTAATGCAAATACTTGCACACCTCATTTAGCCAAGAAACACAAGAATTCCTTGGAAGCTGATTGAGAATTACATGAAGTCAAATTGCTCTGCCTAAGAAGTGGGAATATGAGAGGGAGGAAATGGCGGGAAAGTGAGAACGATACATGGGTGGGGGTTGGTCTGGAGTCTTGCATTAGATTAAAAGGCGAAGGGAAACGGAATACAGTACATGGGACAGATGACTGCTGATGTGCTAATGGGCTGTGACTGGGGGTATTGTTGTTGCACCGAGGAGCTGACCCCCGCTTGGTTTCTCTTTGTTAGCTCCTCACGGCTGGTGCTTGACGAAGGTTGACTGGGCTTGGTGAAAGCAGGGCAGAGGGGGTGAGTGGAGAAGAGGAGGCTGAGAGAATAAGTGGGCATAACGCACCCCTCCAGTGTTGACCTGAAACTCATACAATGTCCCAGAGACTTAACTGTTGTGTTAACTCTGTCGCCATCTCTGTGTAAGAGACAGAGGGGAGAGAAAATTAACAATGTAAAGCTCTGTCTCCACTAGCTAGGGTTTGAATGTGTTGTGGCTTGTCTGGCTCTAAACCAGCATCTCAATGACCAGACACATTTTATAACCTGGCCACAACCTGAATATTAAATATTAACCATTTAATATTCTAGGGTGTTTTTGGTATTTATTAAAGGTACTGTCTGAAATTCAAGTTAATAGAACAAGTCATTTGTTTTTGATATTTTTGTGTGTACACAATTAACAGGAACCATACAGATAAACATTACCACATAGATACACATGAGCAAAGCAACAGATGTAGTGTATACAGGGTGTCTCTGTGAAACTAATGTAATAGATATTATATAATATATAATAATACTGTTTTTCTTCAAAATCTGCAAGCCCGACCTAGTGAGTGTGGGTTCTTGATTGTGTGAGCCGCCCTCTGTTCCCTCATCTTGGCAAAGTGATTACAGTTACAATCATGGAAAAACAAATAGTGTCTCCAGGCTCGGAAACAATCTTGTCTTTTTTTTTTTTTTAATGCAGAACATACTGCGTTACTGAAGGGACGAAAAAGTCAACTGCAGTTTATTTAATTAGATTATGGCATCTCTGTCTCTGCTGCAGACTGGCTGGCTGTGGATCTTTCCTACAGTGTTGGAAGAAAATTACGTTTTCATCATAACAAATGAGCATGTTTGAACATGCTGGCATTTACCTAAGATGATGAAAGCTTGGCTTGAAGGTTCAAGACATGGATTTTCCCAATTGCTCTCCAGAGGCAAACACACATTTCTTCCACATTTATTTTTTTATGCTGTGCACACTAAAGGCACATTTGTGTGGGCTGTTTTCTGGCATATTTCTTGGAGGATGCATGCCATGCTGAGCTCACTGGATCTTTCAGTATGAGGGTTACATGTTTGATGAGTAAGCAGCATAGCTGACCTACAGCTGGCCTCAGAAGGTCAGGACAAGCTGTTGTCTGACAGTTCAACAATAGGAATAAGTTTACATAAAGACGGCGTGCTTGTGTCGCAGCTTTGGACACTTTCCAAAGAGCTGCCCTCTCCGAATCTTACTCCTTTTCTCTGGACTAAAGAAGCCCGGAAGAGGAAGCACTCACACATTGGTGTACATACACCAGTGTTACTCTACCACGGAAGTCACGTTGCAACAACGTGGACATGCTCTAACGTATACACAACCCTGCTGTCATAAGCACAGACTTGCTTTTGCTTTCATAGACATGGCTGAACACTAAAACTAGCACATGTACACACACAAGTGCATATTCCCACAAAAGTCACATCAGCCACACTACACCTCACAGTTAAATAAACCCTGCTGGGGATATATTTCAACCCAAACACCCAGCTGCATTCTCTTCACCAGGAGGTATGCAGAGAAAGAATACATGTATTGTCTTTGAAACATTGTGTGTGTACACTGGCAGAAAGGTGGGAAATGGGATAAAACGAGAAGAGTAATTCTGAGGCAATATACAGGTCATTGAGTCCATGTTATCCCAGAGAGAAGTGAACCCCTGAGCCAACTGTAGCATGCACAATCTACAAAGTAAGACATAAATCAATAGGCTAAAAAGCTAAGCTCTGATTATTTACAATACCCAGTACATGCCAGATCAACTTAACCTACTTTTGCAGAGCCATAATAACTTGCTTTACCACTGGTATTAACATACAACATACACTACTGTATTGGATGGTGAAGAAAAAATAAACACGGGTGAGAGGCAGCTGTTCATGCAGCCAATCCAACCTGAAGACTGAAGCACTCAAACCACCTGCAGAGGTGGTCACAGATCCACCTGCAGGTACTGTTGATGCAGCTTTAGCTCAAATATTAATACAGTGTAGTTATTTATTTGAACTGACTGCAATCACCTTTTAAGTGATAATATCCTATGCATTATGCAAACAGATTACATAAAAAAATACGGTTCAAACAGCTTTGATATTAACAAGACTGTCATAATACTGATGGATTGGGAGCAAGTGTGTTTCAAGTCTTTATGTTTTGCAACGGATCTGATTTGATGTGTAATTTTATGTAATCCAGTTTAAAGCTAGACCAACAAATCAGCCAGGCCAATATATGAGCCGCTGGTAGCTCATTGCAGATATACTGGTAACGCTGGTTAAGTAACAAAAAATTGCAGAACAGACATGGGCAATAATTTAGAGAGAGTGGACCCTATCTTACACCTGTCTCAAAGTGCAATGCAATTGTCTTTGCTAGTGTCAGACCAACGCAGTTGCCATTTTCCCATCCAGTGCCCACCTGGTTTAAATAGCAAATACACTTGCACCCTTCAGAGCACCCATGGGTGTACTGGTCTTAAAATTAGGAACGATCAGGCATACTTTTGGCGTATTACTATGTTGAGGCAGCGGAAATTGATTGTGCAATTTACCAATAAAAACCTGGTCTGAAGTCAGTGGTGCAGTGGATGTCGCTTGGACATAAACGATGCAATAGCTATCTGCCAAGGTGAAAGCACGCCTGGCTTTTAAAGGGAATCGGAGATGGCACTCTGATTAGTTTATTGCATGTTACACCCAAAACACTCCAATTATTAATTAAGAGACTAATTACAACCCCTTTGAACCATGCAAAAGTGGTAATGGAGACACCCTAAATGCAATTGCGCCATGCACTTTAGACCATGTGCTTTAGACAGTTAAAACAGAGCCCAGTGTGCCCCAGAAGATGTGCCTCCAGTAAAACCAAAAATCAACATTTTGGAAGCTGCATTGATAATACAGAGAAGATTTTTGAGTTGATATGAAAACCATTGTCATGAGGGTTTATACAGTTATACAATTAAATTGCAGACATATTATGCAAGGAGTAGTGGGCCAGGACAGCTGTGTGAATAAACATGGCTCAGTTGAAGGTTACAACAGATCTAAACTGAGTCAGACATGAACTGTCATCATGGGTGAGCAATGGAGTCAACAGGAAATTTGCAATATTGTTTTGTTGTTGTTGGGCTTTTAATCGTGAGAGGCCACATTGTTTGGCTGTTATATTGTTTGGTTGCATAACATAACATTTTCTGAACTGATTTGTCTGAATTTTTGTATGATTTTGTATCGTCTACCTCTCCTTCTCTTACAACTATTCGTGTATGTACATAAGGTCATCAGACTGACTACTGTGATTCAGAGCTGTCTAACAGAGCTGGTAAAACATGCTGGACTTTCACTGCTGCCTGAGCTGACTCCAACAATGAGCTGCAACAGTCTGTTCCATACCACGATCTGTTAAGCTCAGTATTACAATGTGTAGTCTCTCTCCAAATACATAAATACATACATGAACTTGTCGCAGGCAAAGACCAAAGCTGTAATTCTGATCTAAGCAGCACAAAGCATACAGCTTTCAATGTTATAAGTTATTTTTGCATTTACATCGTTATCTCATCATATATTTCTCTCTGCCTCCCTCTCAGATGTGTCAAGCAACGGAGAGAGACTCGGCCAATCAGACAGTGAGACAGACAGGCCTTAAATAGCTGCTGAAAGCAGGGAGAGGATCCTAATGAAAAGAATAACAAAGCAAAGAAACCTCTCCCTGGCTTTACACACACACACACACACACACACACACACACACACACACACACACACACACACACAGAACGTGTCTAAGGCACAGCTGGGAAACATTAACTACATCAGGGTAGTCAGGACCACGAGTTAACACAGGGAACAGCACGTGTAGACTCACAAAAAACATACAGACCAGCACACAGGAGCTCATTCCTTTTTCTTTTTTTTTTATATCATGCATGTTCTCCTGGTTCATTCTCTTCTTACATTCAGTTTCAACACATGCAAGCTTTTCACTGGCTCATGGTTAGTGTGGTCATAGGTTCTGAAAGGAACCAGCACTTTTCTAAGGGCAATGAAACTCACATTACATAACATAAGTAAAACAGTTGATTAAAACAACTACACAGGAAACTGATCTCTAAACAATTGCTGACATTGACTAATATCTTATGGAAGAAAGTGAAAGTGGTGCCTTCTTTTTTTATTCATCAATCATATGTTTATATATTCATTTAACTGAATTTAACTATTGATTCTATTAAAAGGTATTTTGTACATTAAGTACAACTGAAACCATTAGCTGGGCAAAAGAAAATTCATCATCAACTTATCTTTTTAATAAAATTTTGAATGAGAAAAAGGCAACTGTTGCTGGTTCCAAATCTGAAATGTGAGAATTGGGTTTTGGACTGTTTGTAAAAAGAAAAAAAATCAAAGTGAAGATTTAACCTTGGTCTCTGGGAACCTGTGAAGGACATTTTTCACTATTTTGTGATATTTTATGGACAAAATTATTAATCAAGAAAATAATCCGCATATAAACGGATAAATAAGATACTTGTGAGTTGAACCTCTGACCCTCTGACTACTTAACTTACACAGGAAATTATCAGTGATAGTGAAAGGGAAATTGGTCAATTACGGATTGTGACATTGTGTGTGTGTATGTGTGTATTGAATGCGTGTGCACATGATGCCTTACCCATGAATGAGCCTGTGCTGCAGATAAGGCTGAAGAAGCAGCTCTCAGGGGGAAGAGTCCCACATTTACTGCAAGAAAGCGTACACAGGAATAAATCAGAGAATTACTGTGAATCAACCTACGCACACTACACAGCAACAGTTCCTCTAATTCCCCTCCCACATTGTGCACTGTGAAATATTGCAAGTCGTTAGAGATGCATTTGTGCTCATGCAATCAGGGGGGTGGTGGGATGGAGTGTGGGGGGTAGAACCACGTTTCCCTCACATCCCATCATGAAGCCTTTTGACTTTTCACCTTCTGCATACTGCCTCTGTTCGAGGAATGGGAAACACTTGTAGGAGGGGAAGGCTGGAGACAGTCAACACAGACTGTCTGTGCAGAGCTCCAGCTGCCTACAAAGTCTTCTCAGCTGACTGCAGTCACACACACACATTCTTCAGCACATAGATGAAAACGTAAAATTCAGTCGACTTGCAGTCATGATTTTTAAACAATTCTTTGATATATTTAGTCACTTTAATGGAATCTGATGTTGGTTTAGTCATATTTTTTAGTCTTTGTGACATCATTTGATTTCAGTCAATTACTCATTGATTACAATACTATGAGTAATATGGCTGAAAGACGCGCGTCTCGTCCACATTCACTACTTCAGCAGCAGCACTGCATTAGGAAAGACACATTCAGACATATCTCAGTTTTTCTGTTTATCTGTAGTTGCACATAAAGTTCAATATTTCTGGGCAGATTATCAAGCTCGTTACATGACATCTGCATTTAGACAGAAACATAAGCAGTGACTTATCTATATTTTTTTTAAGATTTTCTCCAGATTTGTTATACAAACCACAGTATTTACTCTACAACTTGCCTTTAATGTGGGCCAAAAAGCTAAACAAAACGGCGGGAGTGTCTTTCCTCCCAACTGAGCCAACTCCTCTGTGTGTGTGTTTACAAGGTCAGGAGCAGGCCCGTGCTTTGCCTCTGAACTGCCACGGTGGCAGCAGGATATTTCAGCCCCGAGTTATTTTCAGAATGCACACACACAGTCACACACTCAGGAGAAATGTCTCCTTGAAGCTCCCTTACTTTTTTACCAACAATGTGCCGACAGGGGTCACATAACAACAATGGGGCAGTGTTCCTGTTTTTAATCACCAGTCAGAAACTACAAACAAAGAGACAGAGAAGAGACAGAGGGAAAGACAGAGGAGAGGAAGGGTCGGGTTCAGGGCGGGAGTCTCACTGACCTGATGAGAGGTACATTGTCTAGTGTGCAGCACAAGGTTGGCCCACTCTGCAAATAAAGCTCCTCTTCACATGACTGGTTGTACAACCTGTAGCATCAAACATGCATGAACACGCACGCACACACAAAAACAAGGTAGTGCAAAGTTCAGTGTCAAAAGATACACATATGGAGCACAATCACTTGCCAAAAAATATTTAATGTGTGATATAATGATTTGTTTCAGTGTTTAGATCACAGAAGACTGACAGCAATTACAATTTTTTGTTCCAGTGCCATGATGTGGAGTCACTACCAGGCTTTCTTTTGTTTTTAGGGATGGTGAGTCAAAGTAGCAGAGAACCACTGTGTCATCACATAGTAGCCCTGCTGCTAGAGATTAACCACAGCTTGTCCGCAACAAACCCACGGTCAGCCACTCACTGACAGAAAACAAATGTTAAATCTCAGTTCAGTTCATCTGTGTTCATTAACTCATTAACAGTTTGTTCTTTTGGTCTGTGAGCTCATTGAGGCGTGTCTCTCAAACATTTCTGAGGTGACATAACCATTAATCAACGTATCAATAGACGTAATAGCTTCCTGTAGAGAAAAGATTGGGAAATATGCAATGACAGTGGGATTGTAAGGCATGATTTTGTAGAGTGTGTAGGGGTGAACAGAGGTATGATGACACAAATGGCCACAGGATAGATTAAGCAACATACCAGTTATCCACAGGGCAGACATGCTGGTTGTACAGGGCCATGGCGTACCTAAAAGAAAGACGGTATGATTAGTACTGTAATACTGTTAAACTGACTCAGTTCAGAAAAACTGAGAAGAACAACTGATGTTTAAATCTCCAACATTATAAATTATAAACATAAATGAGATGATGGCTGGTTACACTGCTCAGTAACAAATTAAAACATAGTCAATAGTCTTAGGTATGTGTATATGCCAAACAGTGCTTATATATTGTTCAATCAATAGATACAATTACACATGATCATTTTTATGACCATATTTCTGGGTGGACATCTAAGAGGGGGCAGGGGAGGGGGCTCAGGAAGGAAAAGCGACCGTTGCATTATTCTCTCGTTATTCATACAGACACACAAACACACACACTGATCAAAGCAACATATTCAGCTGCCAGAAAAAGATGGAAAGACAGACAGGCACATAGAGACAGAGGGAGTCAGACACAGAGACTATCTGTCCTGAAAGCAGTCGTAGTTCAGTGGGAGGTTAACTGCCAATTAAGACTGTTTCCAGGGCTGATAGTATCATACTCACAAACCAGCGTTTGAAGAACAGAAATATTAAGAAACACACACACACACCTGTTAATAACTAGAACAGAGACACGTGTGTGATTGACATAAAGGCTTTGTGCCAAGAATCACTGGAAGCAAAAGGTATTTTATGCATGTGTGGAAGAAAGTATATGTGTCAATGTGATATACTGTGTAAAACAGTTATGTGGTTACAGTAATATTATTGTTGTGGGAACATAACTACAAGAAAAATAAGGCAACAGGTAACCGGCGATATCTACTACAGCATTTGATTATTATAGCCCTTTAATAATTCAATACTCAATAAAGAGGAAATCATATAATATGGTATATACAATAATCCAATAATTATGATGAATCTCTCCATTAAACAAACATATAGATGATGCCATCAATCAAAGCTTATGTTTAAAATTCAGTTATGTGGTATCATACAATCATCTGTTTGCATTGTGTTGTACACTAAGACAGACCTACCACAAATCCTACAAACAAAAAGTCAAATTATTTATCATCTTCAATCATTACTATGACAACCAGTCTTTCCATTTAATCCTGATTATAAACAATCGAAAAAGAACAACTCCCTGTTAGAAAAATATTAGGGTGTCTGTTTGTGACTCATCTTTCTCATTTTCACACATCGCTACTTTTCAACTGGTTTTCTACATTTGATTGGTAAAATGCATGTCTGCTATTGACTGACTGCTATGGAGGGAGGCAACACTCCGCTGGTTATTGGTCGGCATTAGGCGATGTGAATCACCATGTGAAAGTCATACAAGCCAGACAAGTTGTCCGTAAAGAGCACTGCTCTTGCATAATTCACCAAGGAAACGCACCGGCATGAGTGGAATATGGCCGTCAGGTAGAAGCTGCCTGCGCCCCACCTCCGAGCCCATTAACTACAGTACAATGACACCAACTTGACGAAAACAAAAGAAGCGTACATACAAAGAGCAGTGATTTACCTAGGGACTTCATTAGAAAGAATATAGGAGAAGAAACTATAGCGAGCTGAAGTTGTTGCATTTTTCATGTTAAGGCGTATTTTTATATATTTGGTCAGTTTCCAAAGCTAAAATAGCAGCAGTGCAGCTCTGGGAAAGGTCTAAATAAAATGGTCTTTTTAACTGTACGTGAAACTACACTACTGCATTCTCTGCTCAGAGGAGGCTAAGTAATAATAGGTTTGTTTACATAATTAGACCTCTATCAAAGCTCAGCAGTGGTTGTAAACTATAATTGCATGCCTCAGAGCAATATATAGGTGGAACAAACCATGTTTTCTCTATTTAGGATTCGACAAAGAACATTTAAGAAAGTCTTTCATGGAAAAAAACTGGTATAGACATTGAAAAGGCTGTGCAAAAATAACATATAAGAAACCACAGGAAAGGGTGTGATGCATAGACTGTGAATGGATTTTGCCATGGATTTGCTTCTCTAGCTGGTCGCTGCAGAGCCTAATACATTGATATATTCTAAAATACTTTAAAGCAAAAGAAAAATGTGCTTAGAAACTATTTAAAAGCAAGAAGTGCAGCTTAAAAGGTAAAGTGAAGCCACATTCAAACTCAAACACTTTCCTCAACTCATAGAAGATCAGCTAAAGTATCAAAGCCAAGACTCTTGGGTGGGCACAAGCCTGAGCCGTCCTCTGGCTTCACACAGACCATTCGCACTCTGGGTATGGCCACCAGATGCAGAGTCAAAATTCTGCTTACACTCTCGAATAACCCCCTTCCACTATTTACCTTACTCCCACCCAGTCACCCACACTGAAAGAGAGAGTTGCACAACATGTTACATCCTCTGACATTCCACCAGTCCGGAAAAAGACCCTTGACTGCTCTTAGAAACAAGGCACCCTTGTCAAGGTAACAGGAAGGAAATGGGTTTTAAGGGATCCAAAGATGGCAGCATTTGGCATTTTAATTCAGATTTTCTACCTCAGAATCAAATGCCAAAACAAAACATAAATGTGCAACGCTAGCACTTATTTAACCTGCATGTTCTCCAAATCAGTATAGGTTTCTGCAAAACCCCTGTACACCTGAATACACACTCCTGATTGGACTGTAAGGCAGCCATGTTCACAAACACTAAGTGGTGTGCAAGGTGTCAGTTCTGGCATCTGATTAGACTGCTTACTCCCCACGCAGCTCATCATAGATGTAGCACATAGCCTAAATACAGGACTACGACAGTTTGGAATTGGGCCATCTGTCTATCTCCCCTTGGGGTTTACATTCCTCCTCCCAAAGTAATAACAGAGCAGAGAGGAGAGCTGTCAGCCCAGACATAACCAGGAGATACTCACTCTTTTCTCTGCCGTACATCTGCTCGGATACTGTACTGCAGATAATTAAGCTACACTGCGAACCTGCATGTCTCACTTTCAAGAGAGGGGTGATAATCCCAGATCCTTCCCGGAGAGAATTAATCCACATGCAATTGCCATGGCTCCCAGGAATTCAGGGTAAATATGCAGTATTGCTCACCTGGGAGCAAGAGAAGCTAAGGTATCAAAATGTTTGTATGTGATTATAGACAACAGAGTTGTAATTTTTAGAATATGGTCTGGGTATGTGCATTCTATGTTTTATTATGATTATATCCCATATATTTTTGTCATATTCACTGTGATATTTAATTAAAAAAAAGTAGATCCAGATCTAAAAATCCAGACATGACGCTTGTTACGTTATTTTTTCCATTGTATTCATTACAAATGTGACAGTCTGAAAATTACTGTGAATGGTCAATAGCTATGCAGGCAGAAACAGTGCATGTAAAACCAGTTTTTATGGGTCTATTAAGCAGTAAACTGGTTTATAAAGATTGCTATAGTGGGCCAAATGTGCTTTATTACACTATTGCATATGGATGCATCATGCATCATTAACATGCATCATGATGTTAATGTGGAAAATGCAGAGAAAAAAAAACAAGAATGCTATATGTAATAAATCAGGTGGTTTCTTTTTGTGCCTGGTAGTATTTCAAATAAACACTGTGAATAAATACATAAGTGTATATCTTGTGGCCAACAATACAATGCACTGAGCATCACTACTTATTACCGGGTCTCAGCTGAATTGAAGAGGTACTTTGCATTTGATTTTGAGCTTTTAGATAGAGAAATTTAACACTTACACAACCCATATCCCAGTGATGGTCAGAGCTGGGAGGCTAACAGGCAGTATCATCCAGAGAGACATCCTTCAGCACCTTGAACAGTCTCTTTCTTTTTTTTCCTCTTCGGCCAGCCGAGCGATATCTGCTCAAGTAGTACTAACATTTAACTGAGTGTGACTGACATCTGCATTGATTCATGTTGTTGAAGATGGAGAGTGGTAGATGGGACACCGTCGGGACAGATGTGTCCTTTTGGCTGGTGAATGAGAGTAGAATGGAAGTGAGTTAGGTCAGGATCATTCACTTATAATCAGAGAATAATCATTAAAGTAATACTCAGCAGTAGAAATGCAACTAACAATTATTTTTTAATTTTTGTTGAATCTGTCATGTATGAAATTAGTGAAAATGCCGGTTGCAATTTGTACCTGACATCTTCAAATGGCTTGTTTTATTCAACCAATAACCCAAACCCCGAAAATATTCAGTTTACTATCAAATCTGACACAGAACATTAAAACCCTCACACATGAGAAGCTGGTTGTTGTTGTTGGCATGACTAAAACGATTATTTGATTATCAATCAATCTGGAGTCAGGCTTATATGATGTTCACAGCAATTTAATGTGCAGGATTGCCTTGATAATAACAGACACGTCACAGGTATCATAGGTTTACTCATATTTTGTATACTCACGTTAGATCAGCTACATCCCTTCTCAAGGTAACAGCTGCTCTCCCTCTTGTTTGCAGCTAGATGCAACGACCAGCATCAAGAGTAATACTGCGGCTACTCACCTTGTGTCTCTGTGTTAGCTTCCAAGTTTTGGCAGTTTTTTGGGAAATTTTGAGCACGCCGACCTGTCCTCCACACCTCTGGAACCCCAAAACTACTCCACACTGGACTCCCGGGACACGGAGCAGCCTTTCAATTTCTTTATCAGTCCCTATCTTCTCTGTGCCGAGGTCCCGGTAGCCGTTTTCTACTTGCATCGGCGTGTGGGGAGGCTTGCTCTCACATGCAGTCAGTCTCGTTGCATCGCCGCCACGAGACACTCCAGAGAATCCAGCTGTTTGGCTCCGCCCCCCCCCAAAACTGATAGTGGCAGTGTGCGTTGCATTTATATTTAGACTTGCACCGGATGGGAGGGTCGGTGTGGTCTAAAGCAAAATAACGACGCTAAACGCAGTGCTTTTTATAGAATACCTGGTTGGTTTCAAGGTGCGACGGGAAATAATGAAACTGCTACGTACAGAGGAGTTTGATAATAGCTGTTACAAACACAACATATCATGGCTCCAAACATAAGCACTTTGAACGTAAAGTTTCGGGTCTATTAGTGTAAGACGAACCTGTTGGACATTAAATTTGTAGCCTAGCTCTTTTCAGTTAAAGCAATTTATCACTGTAAGAGGGAGAGGGATGTCCATATCTGCGTTTTGGTTTATCTGAAACCGCTTCCGGCACGTTTGGTACAAATAACCAAGCGCTTCTATTTCATTGGGTTTTCTTTTCACAGTTGGTCACGGTGCCTCGTTTTCTACTCTCCCTGTAAAGTCAGGCGACTCAGCCAACGAGTACAACCGTACTGATATTTGATATCACCTAAATAAAGGTGGAAAGAAAGGAAAACTAAATGAGTGTAGGAATACCCCCTTCTCTCCTTCTCTCCCTCTCTCCCTGTGTGTGTGTGTGTGTGTGTGTGTCTGTGTGTGTGTGTGCGTGCGTGCGTGCGTGCGTGCGCGCGCGCGTGCGTGCGTGTGTGTGTGATTTAGAATTAAAGCCCGTGTGTTTCTGCTGCCCCCTGGAGTTTTAACCTCATATCTCTCTATACCTGTGTGTCCTCATGGGGCCTTCTGTCTGGTAATGCTTGATCAAAAATACCCTCAATACAGTTTAAATGCAAAAAGTCAGTATCAGTGATACTTGTCTCTCTTCAACTTTTAATACATCCATTGTTACACATTTATAAAAAACTGAATTAACAAGCAAACACATCTGTTGTGGTTATTATGTGTAATGCGTTTAAGAGAGACTCTCAGCATATTTGTTTTGTCTCTTTTCTCAGCATAATATCACTTAAGTGTGTAGTTTTCACAGGTTTTCACTTTTTTCTTAATTCCCCCTTTTTTTGGAAAGTCATCTTTGGCCCTACTGTTTGAAAGGATTACTGTGTTACTGTACTTCATAACAAAAGACTAGACAAAATACACTGAAATCATGCTTTATTTGCATAATTAAGGTGAATTAGTTTCCAACAAGTGTTAGCCCCATCTTCTAAACATAAAAGTAGCATAATAAAACTTTAGAAACTTAAAGGCACAATCAACATCTGCTGAGGTTTATTTGTTAGCTAATAGCAAAACTGAAAGAAACACTATAATAATCTCATCAAATAAAGTTATTACTTGATGAACATTTTTTAGAAACTCTGATTTAATTTCACAGACAGCATCTAACATACCAATAATGAAACTATAACATGCTTTATCGTAATAGAGAAAGAGATATGCGAAATAAAGAAAATAACATGATAATCAGTTATTGCATATGTTTCCCACAACTGACAGATTTTGTTTTCATCTCTTCAGGCTAGATTGGCCCAAAACAACAAGCAATGATCAACAGAACAAAAACATATCAACTGGAATGAAAACTAACATTACTACTTTTAGCAAAAGGTGAAACTAACCAGAATTAATCAACTTCAAAGCAATATTAGGAATGTTGTGTAAATTGAATGCAAATTTGTGACGTTAAAGCAAGTCTTCTACAGTCTTATACTAGTACCGTAGCCCCACACACTGAATGCAGGGTAGAGGGGCTCTGTAAATGTAGTCTGGACTCTGTGCAGAAGCTGCATGCCATCAGAGACACTGTAAAATGCAAGTGTTCCTGCTGCATGATCCAGGTAGACGCCAATACGAGATGACACTGTGGCTTGGATGTCTTTGCTCTTATTATTGTGCACAAAGGAGAATTTGGAGTCAGAGCAGTACAGACTCCAGGACTTGTCGTTCCAGCCCAGGCTGCATTCATTTCCATTTCCCTTACGTCGGATTCCTCTGTAGGTAACGGCCACGTCGATCTCTGTTCCCCTCCAGTCCACCTCCCAGTAACAACGAGTCCCACTCATGCTCTCCTTGCACAACACCTGGGGTAGAATGGATGAAATGGTACAAAGAGTTCATTTATGTATGGTATAGATGAAAGCTTACATGAGGAATCACTCACTGCAACTGTAAGGATAACTTCAAAAACTAATACTACAAGCCTGATTTGGGTCATTTACAATCAATACAAACAAAGTTTTTAAGACTTTTCATAAAAAGGTCTTAAAAACTTGAACTGCTTCAGGAGAGCAATTCAAAGAGCACGTTCCCTGACAGTAAAGGCTCCTTTCACTCTTCAGTCTGTGTTCATGAATACAGTATATTCCCTCCTGGCTCTATACCGTTCACAACAGATCAACTTCCCTCCTCCTTTTTTCAGGCACAAAATGACATAATGGAGGCAGTAAATTCTCACCTGCTGCCAGTGGTCAAATCGGTCAGGGTGGTCAGGGTAGTTCTTGGGCTCACTCTTCATCATAGCTGTTCGGTTACCCTCGGAGAGGTGAAGGTTGGAGTGGACACTGTTGATGTCCAGAATCAACTGGCAAGAGTCTAAACAATGCAGGATAATTATCAATCCTCTTTGTGTTGTTGTTTTGTCTCTATTTCCTTATTCACTCTTATCATATGTTTTGGATCTTGTCTGTCTTGAGATTAGATGTTTCTATAAACCTGCAGTGTCACAGTGTAACATCTCTTCTTTTGCTTCATCCTCTTGCACATAAATTGCCTAAATAAATATTTGTGACTCTCAGGTTTAGAAAAAACAAAGTTATCCCACTAAAACCTTTGGTTTGCAACTCCCATGCAGGTGTAGCAAAAGCAGGAACACCTGTGTTTGTTTGATTAAGTAATAGCCTACTGAACTAACAGTAAGAACACTAAGTTTGCTTTCTTACATTTCACCAAACCTGTTCTGCAAGCAGCATACCTTCCATTACACGAGTTTCAGTCGTTTCACCACATGGTGTGGTCATCCCTTTGTTTGGGATGGAGATGTTACTTGTACATGACACAGTGAGAAGCACTTTTCAAGCCTGAAAAGTACAAAATCCACTTGCTGGAATATGAGTTGTATGTGAAATGACTGCAGAGTAGCCTTGCCAAGTTGGTGCTACTACAGGATAAAGAGAGACTTTGGTGTAAAAGGTAACTTTGTGACTCACATTTCATGAAATTTTCTCTCGTCTTTGGTTCTTCTCTTGTCTTCAGTTCTTGCCTCAAAACTGATTCTCTTCTTGTCTTTGTCTCACCTTCTTGTGTGATGTAGACTTCTTTCACTATGAGGAGACAGGGAAAGGGAAAACACATGATAAGCTTCATGAAAGCAACAGCAGACAAAGAAACCAATGCTACATGAAATGAAGCACTGGGAAGACATGATTTGTCTACCTGCTCCTGAGATTTTGCTCATTTCAGTCTTGCTGACTTCTTCTACTTGTAATTTCAGTGCAGCAATGGCTCGCTTGGTAGCATCGAAGGAGTAATATGGAGCGACACTGATGTTGTTGAGGTCTTCATATCCTGAGGGTCCTGACAGAGACTGCCAACTCTGGTAAAAAATAAAAAGGTGGAAGACAGAGATGAGAGAGGAGACACATCTAGTGAACAGCCTAAACTCTCAGAAGGCCCCTGATTTTTGCACCACACGTTTTGTTCTGGGTTGTCAGCACAGGTCAAGCGTCACCTGTAGAAAGTGTATGTGATCATCAGTGTGTGAAAGCTTCTCCAGGTCGGTGTGTTTTTTCCTCAGCAGAGTGATCTCCTCCTCTAAGCGGTCTAGCAGTATCTCGGCCCGTGTCACAGTGGTCTTTTCGTGGGAGCGGATCATCTCCTTGACTTCATTGTACTTCCTCTCTATTGAAAGCAGCAGCTCAGTGAAGATCCGCTCGTTCTCCTCTAGGACCGTTTGAGCAGAGTGCTGATGAGTTACATGAGAGAGATATGGATAAAAAAATGGTTATTTTTCAAACCAGCAAATCTTAATGACTTGTTTTATGCATTGCGTTTGGTTTATAGTGTTTGACAAGAGTGAGACATTTTTTTTTTTTACTTACTTTAACTGATTCCACAGCTTGTCGGAGATCCTGCCACTTTTTAATTCTATCATCAATCCTCTGTTGAGATTTGTGCAGTGTGGCACCGAGTTGTTTCTGCAGAAGGAATCACATCAAAGTTGCGATCATTAGTGGAGATGAAGTGTTTGCTGTGCTCATGTCAGCCTTGTATGAGAAATAACCTTTAAAATCATTAATAGAGTATCTTCACCAAAAGTATAGATTGACAGATTTTCATCACTCACTTGTTTCTCAGTCCTCTCAGTTCCAGCCGGGACGATGTCGTGGTGTTTGTGTTCATCCATCATACACAGAACACATACTGAAGTCTCATCAGTGCGACAAAAAGCCTCCAGCAGCTTGTCATGCTGTGCACAGATCTTCTCTCTCATCTGACCTGTGGCTTTGACCAGTTTATGCTTCATCATGGCAGGATACTCATAGTGGGACTGGAGGTGAGTCTCGCAGTAGGATGCCAGGCACACCAAGCAAGACTTCTCAGCCTTCTGTTTCCTCGTTGTGCAGAAGTCACACAGGACTTCCCCATACTTAACCTGGGCCCTGGGCTGGCTACGATTGGTAGAGCGTCGAGATTTCTCCAAGCTGCTGTATCTGTCTAAATCCAGAGTGCTATGGGGGGGCATTTTTTTTTTTTTTTTTTTTTTTTTTGTAAGATGTCCAGCAGATATGATAAAAAAATTTAAAAATCCACAGGTGATTTAGCTCAGTAGCTATGTGTTATCCTCTCAATAAAATGTCTTGAGATCTGCAAGTAGAAAAAAGACGACAGGAAGCAAATAGGAAAACAGAGAAAATGAGATCCTGAAGTTAACAGCCTCAGTGAAACTGTGTGACGCTGTGTGTGACTGAATGTTAACTATGTGCTCTACTCTCATGGTAAAACCAGTATTCCAGGTTGGACGTTTAATATTCAGGGAATGGGTGTTACTAATGTACTGACTGGAACAAAGAGGGCTGAGACAAAGGAGAGGAAAAGTTGAAACTACCAAAATAAAAAAAAGGAGCTGGCTGGAGCTTGTTGATATACTATAATTTGGAGGATATGATTATGTCAGAGAAAATATGAAACATCTATATTTCTTATTTGAGCAAAGAGATAGCATGGACACTATCTATAAAACAATAAACAACCTTGTCAACATTTTTCACCTATATACACTGTTAATGAACGACGTTCACTTTGTTTTGTTTGTTTCAAGATCATATTTGTGTTATGTCTATAGTTAGACTTCCACCCATAATATGTACAATATGAGCTGCCCATACCTCCAGCGCATTCACTAACAATGGCAAACAGCATCATCTTGTGGGACTAATTCATTACTACACAAATATATATCCCTTTGAGTAGCCTAAAGGTTATTGTGGTTTCAGTCTAAGACATTTCCTTCAATTTTTCACCTTTTTTGAGTGACCCACTTTCTGTTATGCTTGTCAAATTATCAAATTTTTGTCACCAATAATAATAGTAGACAGTCATAAAATACTCAGAACCTTCACAAATGTAAAAGTCGTAATAGCACAATGTAAAGGTCCTGCATTAAAAGTTTAGGTAAACTCATAGATGTATTATCAGTAAAATAAACTGAGAGTAACCCTATCAAAAAAAGAAAGAATTTATCATAAGAAATACCAAGCTTCCCAGTTATAATGTGTACAAACTGCACAAACACTGCACAATGTATTATGTGTTGAACATGTTTTATGGGAGAAAGTTAATATGCAAAGTAACTAGTAACTATATCTGTTGTATAAATGCAATGAAGTCCAGTGGTGAAAAGTAACTAAACACATTTACTCAAGTACAATTTTGAGACACTTGCACTTTGAGTATTTCTATTTAATGTTTCTTTACCTCTACTCCATTACAGCTTGAGTTACTAGTTACTAGTTTCAGATCATTAATACAAAATATATAAACTCATGAATTATGATTTATTATAAATTAAGGTACACATCTCCATCTTTATCAGCTATGCTATATTTTCACTTTTGGTACTACAAGTATATTTCGATGCTCCTACCTTTGTACTTTTAGTTAAATACATTTTTGAGGGCAGGTCTTTTACTTGTAACAGAGATTTCTAGACTGTGTTGCTATTTTTACTTAACTAAAAGATAATAGAAATATAAAGTAACACAAAATGGAAATACTCAAGTAAAATAGCCTACAAGCACCACATAATTCTGCATAAATCCAATACTGTAAATGTACTTTGTTTTTAATGCTGTTTCCTAAATACTTCATATTAACTCAATGGAAATACCAGTATTTCTGTCATATGGTTGTCTGGCATGAACGACTCCGAGGCTGTAGTGGGCGGTAGTGGTTTCCTTGCTGTATTAAAATGACAATGATTGCTTTCGCTAAAGTGCGTCGGTAGTCCAACGTTGGCGCCAGATGAGCAGTGGCGCCAGCTACACACACAGGCAGAGAGAGAGAGAGGAAGACACACACAGCAGTTTGACGAGGCTCACAACAGCTTGCAAAGCCCTTCTCAACCCGGAGTTTTGAGACATACATACTATTCTCCTTTTTTCCTCCCTTCACCGCTCAGAAAGTAAAAACACTGAAAGGTGGGTGTGTGCATGCAATGATTTATACATTTAAACCGGCATGATCCTTACTCCCGATGATTATTTCACCGTTTAAATTCAACTTACTCTAACATGAGCAGTAGCAGCTATGAGACAGATGGACTCTATGTTTAACTGAATATGAGCTTAGTAATTATTTATTATGGTAGTCGGCGTATGCGTTGTGTATTTTGCGTCTCCAGTTGTGATAGTAGCGAACTTTGTAATGGAAAAATACAGGCCTTGACTCGCACTGGTAGTAACATTATGTCCTGTTGGAAAAGCAGACAGGCACAGCGATATAACGTTACTGACATAAGGAACTATTTCAGCTCTGAATCTCATCCAGGTTATTTTTGTAGAATCGAACCATCCGCCTCTCCTGAATCCATGTCCAGTTTTATATTTGCAAACGAAACCAGACTTAACATGGTCGGATGGGCGGTCAATAGCAAAGCTTCCGCTCCAGTGTTTTACATTCTACAGGCTGGTACTAAACTGGACGGCAGGCTTTAGCCGTGCTAGCAGACTGGATTAGCTGGCTCGTTAGCTTGGCACCATGGCTATGTAGCCAGCACGCTAATATTGTCTCGGCTGGATAGCTGCTAACCTCAGCAAGGCCGCCATTGCAGTCGTGTGTGCGGTCTGTCGGTGCTGCCGCAGTGAGGGGGAGCTTTAGCCCGGACTGTAGCCAAGATTCATCGCGCCCTCTCCATCTGCAAGTGTCTTATTTATATGGTTGTTTTCTGTTCGGTTAAAGTATTTCACCATGTATGTGCTATGCGATCTATGTCTTAAATTGATTCTTATGTAAGTAAAAGGCATAATTTCCCGGGCTTTTCGGCGCAGCATTCATCACACTCACGGTTAGCCATCTTTGTTTCAGCTAGCCAACTCCTCTTTGGAATTACGGTGTGGCTCTTAGCGTGCTAACCTACCCACCATTAGCATTCGACATCGTGATACTGCATGTTAAATCGGGGTTCAAGATCGTCTCCATAGCCTAATCATACTTACATGTGGCCTAGCTGTGTATGTTTTCGGCTCACCCCGAGATGGCTTCGGGGTAGCTCTAATTCAGTATGTTTTGAAGGGCGGAAGCTAACCAGGCTAATGTTAGCTAGCGGCAGCCATCTTAGGCGAGCATGTAATCTTGGCTAGCTGGAAGTGCTGGTGTGGCAGAACAAGATGGCCTGTTAATACTCGCACAAGGAGAATTTCCGCGTCGGTAGTTGTATCATAAATTGCACCAAATTACTTAACTCAACCATACGCTTTAATGTAAGTATTTAGTTGTTCTTTTAAGTGCCGACCATAATTACTTGCGTGTTGCTTTTGCTATGAAGCTAGTTAGCTGGCTAAATCGCGAACACATTAGCAGCTAACACAATGCTGTTTTGTCGTTAACCAGTCCCCCCATCCACCATAGCCAGCTAACTAGCGGCTATGAAGGCTATTTGTAGCTGTTATGTGAGGCTAGCAACCAATAGTCCAGTACTTAATAACAAAACATCGGTATTTATGCCCCCACCATCCAAGTTTTATTTAATCATAAGGCAGAGAGAACTGCGTAGATAAGCGAGTTTCGTAGGCCAATCGGGCTTTGGCTTGCGGATTAAGTTTGTATCGGGAGCTTGATCAAGAGTTGGTCCACTTTGATTTTATCAATTGTGTTAGCTAGTGAAGTGAAGCTCATCTTGAGCGCTAACGAAGCTAACAGATTGATCACTTAGCTTGCAAGTGTTAGTATTGCAAGTCTGATGTTGATGAGGCATCAGGCGTGCAGTTATAGATAATACGTTTTATCACGCCTGTCCCCAACTTCTTGGTGTGAACGCATCTCTAACTTTAGACTCAAACATTCGGTTTTTGAAGCATAATGCAGTAAACTGTTTTAGCTGTTTTAGATCAAATGAGCACACGTTAATAAATATACAGTATTACAGAGTAGATGATTTAATATTCATGGCTTCTCTTTGTCACATTGCTCACCTATGGTGTTAAACTAATACACCACCAACCATTGTTTGTTATTGTGCCACCAACCAAGTGCTATTTTACCTTGAAGGAGGTTGTTCATATCTGTCCTGGGCAAGCATGGCTCATTTTCCAGGGCAGTGGGTGGCAAACTTTTTTTTTTTTTTTTTTTTACTATTTCCACTAATATCAGATCAGAGGACATCCAAATATTAAAATAGTCTACATGAAGATATTGGTCTCTTCTTAAACATGTCTTTCAGAGAGGCCGACTGTTGATTCAATATTAAGTTTATTGACTCTTCCCATTATTATCATGAATCCTTGCTGTGATGTTATCACTCACAATAAATTATCTAAAAAAAAAAATAATAATAATTTACATGTAGATTAGATGTTGATATCCTGACATTTTATTTTCCTGCCAGATTGAATTTGAAGCCAAAGCACCTTTTCTCTTGTCACTCTATTTTCACCATGTGAAATTAGCAAGACAAGTGTATATGAAAACCCTTCTACCCCGTGAGGCATGCAAGGAAAATGGGAAGATGTTTGCACAAATGCAAACAGGAGACTCTACCAGTAAATAGAGAACTGGCCTTAGGCCTCCACATCAAATTTTAATTGTTAGGGACAGCAGGTGTGTGTTCTAGTCCAACTCTAGATAATTTAGTTGTTCTGATTTATCAATTTACATTATCCCAGACAAATAAACTAAGCTAATAAACGAAAACCCACTGAAGTTATTATTTATTTTTTCTCTTTATTTTCCTCTTTTGCAGGTCTGCTCACTGACAAGAGCACCAGCGCTGCACTGAAAAACAAAGCCCTATATCCCCGATTCTTTTTTAAGTCATCGTCCGGCAGGAAAACGGAGGTCGTGGGGCTGGAGTGTGTTCTCATGGCCGAGTCAGAGACTGAATGTGACACACCCGGCCTTGACACACTTGGGTCGGAGTGTGTCATAGCCCACAGCCATGTCGACCTTCACTATGGAGCAGAAACTGAGATCATGACAGAGGAAAAGCGTGGATTAGAGCTCGAAATCCATGGCTCAGATTTGAAGATCCAGGGGCTGGGGACAGATCTCGGAGCTGTAGCCTGTGTGGATGCAATTGTAGCCGAGACAGACCATGATTACATTAAGGTGGAACATGGTGAGATGCACTGTTTCACAGGAGCAGAAATCAAGACAACAGGAAATGAGGCTCTGCTGGGCGAGGTGCTGCTTAAGACAGAAAGCGAGCATGTTGTCAAAGTGGAGTCTGACCATGGTGGGGAGTTGACAGTGGAGTCTGAGAATGGGGTAATCATACATGAAGCCCATGGCCTGCAGTGCAATGAGTGTGGGGAGATCTTTGGCAGCATAGCTGATCTTCACCAACACTTTGAGATCCATAAGGACCTCAATCCTTACATCTGTGTCCACTGTGGTGAGAGCTTTGCTGTGGAGGCTAGCCTCAAGCAGCACATGAAGATTCACATGAAAGAAAAGCCCTATGTTCCCCCTGGAGTTGAAATTATGGGCAAAGATGTTATTGATGCCTTCAGCCTCAAGTCTCATCAGATGATTCATTTGCCAGACAAGCCCCACAGATGCTCAGAGTGCGGTAAGAGTTTTGCTGCTGCCATCACCCTGAGAGAACATATGAAGATGCATTCAGAGGACAAGCCTTATAAATGCACCCAGTGTAGGAAGAGCTTTGTCCGCAGAAGGCATCTGAAAAAGCACCAAGAGGTCCATGCACGCGAGAAGCCATATACTTGCGGTCAGTGTGGCAAAGGCTTTGCCACAACTTCTAATCTGAAGCAGCATCAGAAAACCCACACTGCAGTCGTGCTCGGAGACAAACCCCACCGCTGTGCACAGTGTGGAAAGTGTTTTGCGGCTGCTGCCACTCTTAGAGAGCACCAGAGGATCCACTCGGGTGAGAAGCCGTACAAATGCAACATGTGTAGGAAGAGCTTTGTCCGCAAACGTCATCTGAAGAAGCACCAGCAAGTCCATGCCGGAGGGAAGCCCTATACCTGCAGACATTGCAACAAGGGCTTCAATCACTCTTCTTCTCTCTCTCGCCACCATAAGACCCACCTGCAGAATCCAGTGTTTTCTCCACCTCAGCCTGGGAAACCATTGTCATACGGCACTCCCCCAAAGCAGAGGGTGCACCAGCAGGGAGACAAGCCCTATATGTGCCACCACTGTGATAAGGGCTTCAATCATTCCTCATCCCTGTCCCGGCACCAAAGAGTCCACTCAGAGGGAAAGAGTTACACCTGCGCTCACTGTGGCAAAAGATTCAATCACTCGTCCTCCCTTGCTAGGCATCAGAGAGTTCACTTGGAGAACAAACAGCAACAGCAGCAGCAGCAACCACCACAGCCACAACCGCAGCAGTACACCCCTATCCCCACAGGGAAGGGATTCCCTAACAATGCCTTCCCAAAACAGCGCATCCTGTCTGTTGAAAAACCGTACAGGTGCTCTCAGTGTGGGAAAGGCTTTAACCATTCATCTTCCCTCTCCAGACATCACAGGATCCATGTAGACCAGTGAGCTCCTTTTCCAAACCCTCACATGCTGTCCCATGCAAGCGCACATACCCACTCCCCCCATTTCTGTTGTACCAATGGTCCCATCATTGATATCACCACACCACAGGAAACATCAGGCCAACTTCTATAGACAAAGGTGGTCATGTCAGCACATTGCTATGGTGAAATGGAGCAGTTGAGAATAAATGGACAGTAACACGAATCTTCAAAAGGAAATGGCTTGGCCTGAAGGACCATGTAACCTATAATTCAGAGCTGAACCTGGGACTATGTGCTCAATTTGAAGAGGGTATAATAATAGATTGTGAAGGAGCCGCTATTCTTGTTTGTGATTGTGCTTCACTTGCTCCAGGACCTCTTTTGAACACTTTTAAAGAAAAAAAAAAACGTGATTTGAAGATCTACATGATAAAATTGTTACCTGGGGAAAAAATACTTAACCCTATGGCTGGTCTTTTTGATAAAAGTATTCAGTTTATGTACCTTCAGGTGGGCACACATGCTTCTTGCAGCTGCAACTTTATTCAAGGCTACCAACACAATTGGTGAACCAGAACTGTTGTCTCAATTTCAATAGTTTTTTTCACCCACATAACCCATGTGAAGCAAACATTGAAAATCCAATGTAAATACTTACTGATTTTCTTTTATATATATATGTATAGGTGACTAGTGTGCTGTTCCAAAAGATTACATTTTTGATAGTAAGATCCACTTTGTCTCCACCTTTTTTTTTCCTTTTATGACTTTAATTTGTTCTAAGTGTTGGAGATAAACATGTTGCAGGTGTTCTCATGCAGCTTGTTCTTGAATTTGGGCTCCATCAGACATGAGCCATCTTGTATATTTATGAGGTTGTTTTCTTGTATGTCTGCTATGGGTTAACACCGCTGCATAGACTGTACAGAGAGCAATACTGGCTGACACCCTGACTCTATTATGACATGCAATTTAGCCATAAGAAATGCATAATAGAAATAAAAACCAACTGGGTAGCATATTACAACATGACCTGTGTCCTAATTATTTACTGTGCTGTTTCCTCTGTACCTGAGCACCAAATGTACATGAAATGCAACATCACACTTTGTTTATTTCTTTGGAGACTAATTCAATGACCTGTGTATAGAATATAGGTAACACTCAAGTTGATCTGCATCTGTCAAAATTTGATCTAAAAAGGTTGTGTATACTAAAAGACTACACGAGAATCTCACTTTTACAAGATTTTTCGAATTCCAATGGATTGCGCTCTATTTACTGTTCTGTGTAAAATATCTTTTACAAACTGATGTATTTTTTTAGATATGGCTTGGGTTATATGAAAGGGAATGAGAGATATACAGTTTTTATGGGAGTGAACATTATGGTGAGCAATATTTTCATTTCTTTTCATTTGGATAACAATTGTGCTTCAAACTGTAGCATAGGTTTCTTCCTTGTGTTAGATAGGTGCCTTATTGCATGCTATGTAGAAATGTATGCCGAGCTGTTATTTGAGAAAAAAGTTAGGGTTTTCAGGAGTCTTTTGTTCTTATTCATACTAACTTACCCTACATTTTAATTTGATGTCACTGATACCTATTGCTTTTTTGCTTTCATGTATATTACCATGTGTTTACACTGTTACAACCATATTGTCTTTGTTCCCCCCCTTTTCATTTTTGTCAATGGCCTCATTGTAGAGAGAAAAATTGTAAATGATCCATATAAGCTTCTCTTAAGGGCAAATCCTGTAACACCTCTTCCCAATTTCTGAGTGGCACATATATGGATAAATAAAGGTTGTTGACTCTTGTGGTGGTGGTCAATCAATGGAGTACATTTATGAGATGGAAAAGGCATTCAGTCATATAGCTAAGTCTCATCTGTCCAATACTCATCAGGATAACCCATGCTCTTTAGGACCCTGCAAAATAAATAGAGCGTGGCGTGTTTAATGGTGACATTAGGTGAGATATTAAGAATATAACCATTTAGTGAGTAATTTTTAACCGGGCAACATAGTAAGTTGCTCTGCTTCCTGCACTTCCACAGTGTGTCCACATGGTGTCACTCTCAACCTTTGAAAGTTGTGAAGGAGCCAACAATATCCTGATGTCAGACAGGTAATAACAGTAGAGTATTTTCAACCAATATAAGATTTTTTTAATGAGAAAACAAAGCTGGAACATTTAAAATTTAAACTGTAATATTACCAAAACTGAACCAGTCTGCTGCAGTCAAAGTAGCTGAGTTTAAGGGGAAATTCTTGGGAATGGCCTCTGAGAAATTGTAAAAACATCAACATAATATCAGGAAAGTACACGCTTTCCTGCACTACAGTGGTTTACATTCCATCACAGCTGGAGGTCAGACTTTAGTTGCCTGTTGAGGTAGACATTCAAGGTTGGGATCAACTGACATGATAACCTTCAGAGATAAGGATTCATCAGGCCTCTTGGTACAGAGTGATGTCTGGTTTACATTAGGAGTGTGACTCAAACTTTTTTTTTTTTTTTTGAAGCAAATGATCAATATGTCCAACAAACATATATCACTTATTCGGACCATTTATCATGATGTTCTTAATAGTCATGCTTTTCACAAATACAGTTAGTAAACTGCGTGAGCTTTACAAATGTATTTTTTAATTATATCTAGCTGTTGTATGAACAGATATTCCCCAATATAAACAAAAATGCCAATTCAACACTTGGATAAAAGCTCTAAAAGTTACTTTGGACCAACAACAGTATTGCTTTCTGAAGTTGACATGGGTCAACACTAATAGTAAAGTCACAATTATTTTCTAAAGAGCACTGCCTCAGGTACTTGTGTTGAGGGTCAGTGTTGTGAACAATATCATGAAGAGAAAGACATCTTGGTTGATATACACAATTTTATTTGTGGTAAATGCTACTTAACGAGATAAAAGGAAATGCTAGATCATGTTATTGCTGTTATGAACATTTTAAGACATTTTAAGCAATGAGATGTGTAGAGAAAGAAAACTGTACATTTGTATCACAAAAAAGGATGCTGATATACCATGTATTTAACAACACATACACAAGGTAATCCATGAATGGATAAATCATAGCATATTACCTCTAAAATTATTTACAAAAAGAAACAATATATACTATACATCTGTACACAGACCCCTGTTGTGATGGGTATGATGATAGCAATTACACAGAGCGGGAGATTCAAGCACATTGTTTTGACCTTTTCATACTTCCAACACGAAGCTTCAGCAGGGGGCGTAGACCTGCTATACGTTCATGACAGGAGTTAGCTGCAGCAGTGAGCTCTGCGTTCGAATGGTGCTGCTCTTTGAATGCAGTTTCTCCAGGTTTTGTAAAAAGCCTCTTCTCTTGAGACCCTCAAGAATGACAGTATTGCTGGAAGCCAGACTGACACGGGTCCTGTAGGGGACAAAAGGGGGCACAAGGTTGATATTTTATGTAAATATGCCATTTGAACAAGGTGATGTATTTATGCACTGCATCTGTTCACCTACAAAGTGTGGTTCAAGTTCAGTGTCAAAATATAAGTCTTTCTTCCTCTGATAATAACATGAGAATTTAAGTGCTGCACAGCAATTACACATAATTATCAAAATGACTCCCTTCTGTCCAAATACTGCATGCTATAATTGGTCACAAGGTGTTTGTTCAGCTTTATTGCAATTTACTTTAAAGGAAAAAAAAACACAAATTGGAAGTACGCCACAGACATGTAACCTAGAGGTTAACTAACCTCAGTTTGGTGTTTGTTTTTCCTGTCTCTAAAATCCTTCCAGAATGGGAAAGACTGTGTGGGCTCACAGCACAGAAGAGATAAGAAATGAGCCCAAGGTGTGAAACTAGTAAAACACTGGCCTAAAGAATGTACATCTGGGCTAAGAGATTAAGATAATTTCTTTTTTTTTCTCCACATAAAACCTTTTCATCAGACTGTTAACTGCTATGTTGAAATATCACAGTATCTTATTAGAGCTAATATGAACAACTATAAAGAGAGGCACTCACCGAGGAGAATCTATACCACTGTCTCCTGTGATGCTCTGGTTCTCTCCAATTTCCACTCCTTCCCCAATCTGAGACCCTCTGGCTCCACTGGGCATACCCAGAACAGCTCTGTGAGTCTGAGGAACACTTGTCTCATCAAACTCATCCTCATGCACTTCTTCCACCTCAGCTGCCCAGTGAGCAGATTCACCATCTCCCTCATCAGCCGACTTACGGACGGTCTCAGTGTCTGATTCTATCTCACTAGTCTGGCAGTAGTCAAAGATGCTACTGTCTGCAACTTCAGATGGTTCGGGACGATCCAAATCAAGGTTGACCTCGTGGCGTTTTTCCCCCTGGATCAATGTACCTTGCCTGGGGTTGGATTCACTATGAGCCCCTGCTGATCTAGTACTCTGATGGTGATGGTGGAGTCTCCAGTTGGTCTCTCCAGGTCTGGTGGGGCTGAGGGAAGGGTCCCTCTGAGTTGCTGAGGGAATGAGATCTTTCAAAGTGCTGTCCCTTGAATCTTGTGGTTGGTGAAAGTTAGAATTGAAATAGTGACTGTGGGGTCCCTCATATATCAAATCAGATTCACAGTTATGGTAAACCAACTGGTGGCCACGGTAGTCTGCTACACTTGTTCGGTACACATTTGCAGCATCAATAATCTCATCCTCGTTCAGACACAAGGAGCTGCAGGCATCCTCATCCTCCTGCTCATCTGCTCTCTGATAGAGCCTGTAGTCGTCCTCTCTTAAGTCATCAGTGTTTGTTACTGAGGGAGTGCTGTCAGCTATCAACTCTGGCCTTTCTCCCTGGCTCAAGGCCCTTTGCACTCTATTATTGATAGTGACGGTTCTAATGTCCTGTTGTTCCTGGGTGGCTGTAGTATCACAGGCCTGCTGGTGTGAAAAGAGCTCATCAGGCCTCTGTATATCATCCCTCTGTGGGTTGGAGAGTCTGAGGGAGTGTTTCCGTTGTAAAGAGGGCTTGGGCCAGGGCAAAGACGGGTCATATGGGTGGTTGATGACAGGCTCATAGGGAAGCATAGGGAGAATGCTATTAGTATTGGAGTACTGTTGGATGCTAGAGAGACCATTATCTATAGTTTGGCTGTGGTCTGGCACACTGTTGTACTCTGCCTCCTGAAAAGGTGCATTTTTGCCTTCTCTCTCCCAGCTCTCCTTGCTGTTTCCCTCCCTCTGATGTCTGACCTTATCATCTATCCGGAGTGTGCTGCTCTGTGGGTAGGCTGAGCTGTAGTCTAGTGGCAGCTCTCCGTTGAACTTTAGGTCTTCTTGGAGCACATGATCAGCAGTAATGTCCCTCTCATGGACACAGTCGTACCTGTCCTCAGATGTAGGGGATTTCCCTGCATGCTCTCCATCTGTTGTAATCACTTTGGCTCGATGTGGGTCCCATGATTTTGAGCGGTGACTCGTTCGTTCCTTCCTGCCTGGCCTTGAAGCCTTGCCCTCTTTCACCTCTCGTCTTCTATGCTCTCTGTTGATGGTGGCAGGAATTACAGCATCAGCTGCGTCTTTGATTGGATGAGTCTGGAAAGGGTTTTCAATTCGTTTCTTATAAAGAGATTTTCCCTCAACAGCTCCACCTTCTTCCACTTGATCTGGTTCATCAACAGGGATTTCCACTCTGAGCCGAGTAGGGATCAAATCGTCCCCCTCTGGATAATCATCCGCACATATGGGAGCCTTACTCTTAACCCTCTCCTTCTCCCTTTCCCTTTGCTTCTCTCTGGATGAGTGGGCCCTCCTCTTGCTGCGAGAGGCCTTCAGAGCATATCTTTTCCCTGCCCCTGCCTTAGAGGAGTGATGATGCCTGGGTTTTGACATTGTTAGGATCTCAGTAGACATTCCTTTGTTCACTCCCTTATCGTCTTTATCCAGACACCTGTCCAACACTCTGTCTATCCCCTTCTCCCTCCTCTCCTCCAGCTTCTTCATTAGGACTGTGTGGCGTGTCAAATTGTCCACAGTCAGTTCAGGGTTGATGCGTTTGATGATAGCGTGCTCCAGGTCACGGGGTAAGTTGTTCAGGTCGTCCTCGTCTCTTACTGGCCATTCTTCTGGAGGAAACTGGCCTGAAAAAGATGCATACTCTTTCTTTGGCTTCTCTTTTTTCCCTCCATTCCTTCGGAACAAACTGAGACCAAACTTCCTCCCTGGTTTGTTGTCTTTTTCTTTGCGGCTCGTGGCATTAGTAGTGGCTGTAGTTTTGCTGATCTCACTTGCCTGACAGTCTGCTGCCGTGGAGGTGGACTGATGCTGCACTGTGGGTTTGTGATCTGACTGTCGAGGCCACTTTAAGCTCTTGCCTGTACATTCACTTATGGAAACAGAGACAGAATGCTGATCTGGGACAGTGGAGGGAGAGACAGTTGCTTGTCCAGTAGTGGAGGCGATATTTGTGGATGTTTGGAGAGGGCTGAAGCAGCTGCAAGACTTGCAGTGTGCCACTGGGAGTGACTGAGTTCTCTCAACACAGGCATCGTTGCTCAGTAGGTAAGTAATGGGAGGAGGAGAAGGAGGGTCATCTGCTGACCCAGAAGTCCACCAATTCTTCTCTCGGACGATGTTGTTGGTGATGAAATAGGTCTGAGGGGTGACAACAAAGTAGCCTTCGCCTGTATGGTAAATCTTACGTTCCTTGATCAGAGTGCCTAGAGCATTATAGAGGATGTCCTGGGTAGGGATGGTTATCCCTGAGACACAGAAAGAGAGAGGTGTATAATAATACCAATTCCCTAAATCAAAAATTGACTTTCACTCATGTCTTTCTGTTACATATAAAGCTAAAGCCAGTAGCTGTTTAACTTAGCAAAAAGATTGAAAGTGGTGAAACAGCTAGACTGGCTCTGTCCAATGATAACAAAATCTAAGATCAATAATTAATACAGTGGATCTTGCTTTTTTAGTTCAAGGAAAAACTGATAGTGGGTTATGTGCCAGACTATTTCTTAGAAGTTACTTTGTCTGTCCAGAAATTGTCTGGCACATAACTCCTCATACTGTTTCCCCCTGTTTCCTGTCTTTTTGCTAAACTAAGATAAGACATAAGAGTTTTGCCAATCTTCTAGTCTAACACTAACACCCTGCCAAAAATAATAAGTACATTTACCAAAGTGTTGAACTATTCCTTTAATAAACAAAATTAGACAATATTTTATGGATTACCTGGGTGGGCTTTGCTCATGTGATTGATAAGTGCTTCCTGGTTGACAGTGATTTGGGAGGAGTTCATATCTGAGATGACTGAGCACAACACTTCAGCCAAGGGAATGAACTGAGACTGGGGCACAGGGGACATCTGCACCGGGGACAGGTCACCTGAAACACACACACACACACACACACACACACACATACACATACACCAACAGATTATTGAGTGAAACAGGTGGGCCTGCTGCAGTACACATAAACACACCTGGGTTAGAGAGGTCTCTCTCTGACTTGTGCTGCCAGTGAAAACAACTCGAAGTACTGAAGTTGACATTCCTCTCCTGACCACCTTCTAAATCATGACCGAGGTGGTCTATTTATGTGAGCTATATGAGCCATGCCTGACTGCTTTTGAAATTCCATCAGTACTGGGACAGACCACAGAATTCCATTACTCCCACAGAAATGACCACAGGTCTGCCTGCTAGGCAGATCAGATATCCTGCCCCCCATATCATACGGCCTTACACGTCTAGGAGGTGCCCTTAGACAAACATGTTACCAAAAGTAAGAGAGACTGAGAAAAAAAGAGAGAGACAGTCTTGGAAGCATTTGTCTTTGTAATAATAGTATGAAACTCATTGTGTATGTGTATTCCCCACATCAAATTGCCACCAATCTGCATTTGCCTCTGACATAAAAACAAACTGTGGGAGCCCATTAGACAGAAGCCACAAGGCTTTCAAATCATAAAACTAAGCTGCTTTTAAAGCTAACCAGACATTTTAGAAATATTTCAGTATCAGAAACAATCAGCACAGTTTCATAGATGGAGAAACGTAATTGAAGCAACATGGAGTGGTTAAGTTCCTTCAGGCAAGTAGTTTTTGTACAAAGCCTTTAGTGAAGAGGGCGGGATGAGTTCGATAGTGGTGCTATAAAGACCCTTCCACACCGTGTTAATAGGACAGAACATGGAAACTGAAAAAAAAAGAGTCAGCTGATAGCACGATTCGAATTAGGGATATGTGGTCATTTTTGGGTCATAGTACAATGAGGACGATTACAAAAGACATGTGCAAAGTGATAACTGACTAATTAGTTACAGCATTTCCTCTCTGGCTCAACCTGAATCCCTGAAGAGGCTAAAAGGGCAATGATGTCAGTTCCAGTCACTCCAATATTTTGGATACTGCTAGGGTTATGGCCTGCCAAACTGTAAACTGTGTTTAGGTATAATATTAGAAATGTAGATATAACCCATGAGGTGGTTAGTTTTAGCTTTACATAAGAGTTGAGTTCAAATCTTGATGTTTAGGTTAATGGTTGGGGTTAGGTATGGTCTGATGTGGTTATGGTTAGGATAATAATGTGTATGGGGGATTAGAATACATTATGAACCCATGGGCAATAACATAAAAGGGACACTGAAAAATGTTTGCTTAGCCCCTGCAGCCTTTATGAAACAATTTTTTCATAATGCTGACATCATTGTCTGCATACTCTCCACAAAACTCTACTCATAGACTAAGCACTAAGGGAAATGTTTACTAATGAGTAGTGAGCTCAGTGAAAGCACCAAAACAAACTAGATCCCACTGTTGATGAATGATTAGCATCAGGGCTGGGGTAACACATAGTCCCCTCATATGAATAACAGACACAAGGGCATGGACATAACCTTACCCACAGGACTGGAAAATTGGTTTTAGTTAATCAGCTACATTGCATTAATGTCAGGTGTATAATGGGTGAAAGAAGGGATGTGATAAGGCTGCTCCATTCCCTTTTCACTAGGCCCTGATTCCCCATATTATCATTGTTTTGTCATTATCATTGTTATTTAATCAGTATTTTAGTTGGATGTTTCTGTTCAGTTATTTAATGCATTGGTTGTGAGATGTGGTTGATCTTTGCTTGCAGTGTTTGATATGTTGGAAGGGTCAGCCCACTGTATATTTTCAGTTGTTCTTCCAGGTTAGTGGGGTTGATCAGCAGCTCAGTCAGGGGAAGGGGAAAACACGTGTGTGTCATTAGGTCCTCTTAGTAGTAGTGAGGTACTGGGCATGAGTATGTGGGAAGATGGGTAGAACTGTTCTGCAGTAGATAACAGTGGGGTGAAACGTGTGCACTTATGAATAATATCTGGTGCTTACTGTAGAGTGGGAATTGTCAACAGTAACAGAAGTTGGTAGGTAGTGGTTGTATGGGGTTTGGTTTGCTTGGACAGGCATGTGTAGGATTAGCTCACCCCCCATACTTACCTGAGCTGGTGGTAGACTCCAGTTAGGTGAGAAGGAGAAGATAAGATGCCAGTCAGGAGTCAATGGGGAGAGACAGAGCATGTGGCAGCTTGCTGTGAGGCTGTAGATTTTCTTTGATGTAATGGCTTAAGTTATTTTTTTTGTTGAATTTCCTGGGGTTCATTTTGTTTGTTTGAAAATGTTTTTGTTAGTAAAATCACATTTTTTGAGCATGTACTCTGGCCTGTTGACTTGTTTTCTTTGGAACATCCCTTTTAAAGTTTCCAGTGCCCAGACACACCATCTGTCCTTTTTATGGGGTGGCAGCGCTACAAGGGATAAGTAAAAAATGGTGATAACACAAAAAAGTGATCAATGATCCCACTCTATCTGCTGTTTTTATTTACCCACAGTATCAAAAGCAGCTTGAGTCCAAATTTGAGTGTAAAAGATGCCACACACATATAATTAATTCCAGCTTCAACTTGTTTGTGTTATTGACACATTTTCCCCATGTGATTTCAAGTTTCCAGTTGTGTTGAGAACACACAGTGTGAATTCAGTCATGAGCTTCAACATGTGGCGTGTGTGACTGAGTGAGTGAGTCTCCCATCAACCCTAGGGCTTTCAGTGAAAACACTGCCAAGCTCACACTTGATGTAAACTAAACATTTATAACCCTCACACTTGAACCACTTACGTCCAAGGCAGGGAAAATAAACAACTAATCATGGTATAGCATGACAGAACGCACACGTACCACACTCAAACATAGATCCAGGCAAGTCTACTAATGACATTTTTTTGACAAAAAAATGTATATGTGCCCAAATAGATTTGTCATGAAGAACCACAGACAATGTTGCCAGATTTGACTGACAACATATCGCCCAAGTCGCCTAGAAACATTTAAGCCAATTCACCTTTGGCTTAACGTCTTAGGGACAGGGAACAGATCTAAACTTTAGCATCTTTTATCTCACAGCTAAAACTGGAGGGAAAATAGTTCAATCCAGTTGTAATAAACTAAACTATAGTTTTGAGGGTCATCAGTTAAATCAGTCAACTAATCAGAGGAGAGGAGGGGCAGATATATTGGAAAATAGCCTAATATTCTGTGGGTCTAAATGGTACAAAAAAAAGTAGCTCAAATTATCACAACCCACCCAAAACTATTTTACCTAAATAAAAAGTAGCCCAGCTGGGTGGAAAACTGGCCAATCTGGCAACACTGACCACAGAGCAGTTTTTTGCTCCCTGAAATGTATTAATCAAATTGGTGCTCAGATGTGTTTTATTGAATTGAAAATGCTTTATTGTTAGTAAGAAATATATCAAGCAAAGTCAGTAAAAAAAACAATTATCAGCACAGAGAGACTTATGAGTCTTAGGTGAGCTCCACTTAAAGCTCATAAGTCTCACAGACTGGGCGCTTTCTTTGTAAGACTGATCCTACGACACACAGAGGGATCGTAAAAAAACATCTGCCTTCCCCCAGCTCCGACAGAAGACATTAATCTGACTAAACCTCAGAGCGGATATCTCAATAGCAGTCTCCCTGGGCAGTGAATTAGTGCTGCTGACTTAGCTCCTCATTGTTTTTAACTTCCTATAGGAATGACAGGCCGTCCACATAGCAACCACTTACAACCATTGTCAACAGTTAAAAGGTCAGCAAGGATATGATATGGTCAGAGAGGGGGAAGGCAAATAATATATCTTGATCACGGGGAATTGATAAACTATTGGAAAGCTTCCCAAATCTCTTTGCACAGAGGTAGTTTTGGTAGATTGAGCACTCTGGCCACGTCCTGGTTCAAAGCAGGATGTCCTGTCGGACACCTGCTAACAGGATCTCTACTCCTAAGGGAGTGAAAAACAGAATAGGTTCAAGTAAGAGCATGTTTCCCACATGCCAGTCAATTAACTACGGTTGGATAGCAGCACTGACTAAAAAAATCAACAGACAAGGGAGACTGACAATGCAGGTGTGAGACAGAAGACAAAAATACACCTACAGAAGTTTATTTGTGGGAAAATGTTGGCGTCATAGAAGGATGAGCCAGGCAGAGGATTAGTGTTTATTGAGTCTAACATTAGCAGGCGTGACCATCGGGGAGGTTCACTGTTGTAACCATCTTCACTCCAGGGGGAACGGACCTCTGTGTTCCTGTAATCTAAGACCGGGCGGACCAACTTTACACCCTTTGTCATACACGGCATGAATACCTGGCTAGGTGCTATGGCAACCAAGCCCTGTGCCAATAGGAAGAGGGAGGGAAACAGCAGCTTGAGAATCAAACAGCAGCAAGATTTGTGTCCCGGCAGGTTAGGAGGAGCAACTGTCCAATACAAGCCTTCAAAAGGGGAACTCACCAATTTTATATATGTCAAAGTCTGTCCACCTGTAATGGTTAGTCCTGCTCAGCCTGTCGAGACAGTTGTTTAATGTCTTAATTAGCTCTGGAGGGTTTTCATCAAGTCTCAGAAAATGACTGTGATGATGCTGCAGTGATGGGAACAAACTGTTTTTTTTTTAGCATACCCTTACTGCATTATGGGAAGTGTAGGATCCAGCGTTTGTGGAGCTTGACCCATAACAGGAACTAAAATAATATTAGAATATTAGAAGTGCAATTAAACTGCTGGAGTAAAGCAATGACTTGTGATTCACCATCACAGATGTAAATAAGCAGAGAGCCAAACAGTTTAGTATAATTAACCATTTTTCATTCCCAAGTTGATTTAGTGAAGGAGTACAAGTAGGACTGAGACAGAATGAACACTTTATATGCCAATTTGGATTAAAAGAGATCATTGCAACTTTATATAACAATTTTACTTGAATGGTATTGACCACAAGATTAAAATAAAGTGACAAAGCCCACACAATTCTTCTGCTCCACACAGAAAAACATGATT